CCTGGGGTGACTCCGGCCTTGACTGCTCTTTGGAATCCTCTGACTTAGGAGTTGCCCAGAGCCTAGGGGTGGTCAGAAACTCATGATAAACTTCAAGGGATTTGATTCATGCCTGGCACAGACCAGAGAGACAGGCCAGAAATTCAGGTGCTGCTGGCTAGACACCTGGAGGTAAGGATGATGACTGATACAGACTGGTTGAAACTTGAGTTGAACAGGAACAGTGGATGGTGTAAATTACTAAGTATATAGACAGACTGTAGTTTGGGAAATAACTGAATAAGCCATAGGCAATCTTGAAGGGCTTCCGTCCCTGTAGTGGGGATTAATCCCAGGGCCTTTTGCTGGTATCATTAGAGTCCCATTCTTGCAACCCTGGTGATAAGTTTTTAGGCTGGGCGTGGTGCAGCAGGCCTTTAATCCCTGTCTCAAAAAATCAAAACAGCAACAACAAAAACACCCTTGAGCTTCATGCAGTGTGGGTTAGTAGTGGGGGTTAGTACTTGCCCCATTGATGAACTATTTGCCTAGCCCCACCCCCTCATCCCCACGTTTTATTTTGAGACAGGGTTTCACTAAGTTGTTTAAGTTGGTTTTGAAGTTGCATTGCAACCCAGATATGTCTTTCAAAAAATCGTTATTGTTATTGTGTGTACATGCAGTTGCCACAGCATGTGTGAGGAGGTCAGGAGATCTTGGAAGCAGGGTCTCTCTTGGGTCTGCTGTGCTTCGTGGTCCTGGCTAGCTGGCCTGGAAACTTCCAGGAGATTATTCTGTCTCCCTTTCTCCCTCCTGAAATAACAGCTCTGGGAGTTACAGATATGAATCCGTACATCCAGCTTTTTTTGTTTGTTTTTTTCCAGACAGGGTTTCTCTGTGTAGCCCTGGCTGTCCTGGAACTCACTGTGTAGACCAGCTTGGCATTGAATTCACAGAGATCTACCTGCCTGTCTCTGGAGTGCTGGGATCACAGGTGTGTGCCACCACTGCCTGGTTTACCTGCAGTTTTTCTTTTTGTTTGTTTTTAAAATTTATAGCCGGGCGTCGGTGGCACATGCCTTTAGTCCCAGCACTTGGGAGGCAGAGGCAGGTGGATCTCTGTGAGTTCGAGACCAGCCTGATCTACAGAGCGAGTTCCAGGACAGCCTCCAAAGCTACACAGAGAAACCCTGTCTTGAAAAAGCCAAAAAAAAAAAATTATTTATTTAGTATGTTCACAGTATTCTGCCTGCATGTATGTCTGCATGTGGTTGCTGGGAATTATTGCACTCAGGACCTCTGGAAGAGCTGCCAGTGCTCTTAACCTCCAAGCTATCTGTCTCTCTAGGCCCATTACATCCAGCTTTTTAAAAAATATATAGATTCCAAGGATCAGATTCAAGTAGTTGGGCTTGCTTGGCAGGTGCTTTCTCGTCAGCCCGCAGACAGGCCTTGAACTTTGTCTGCCTGTCCTTTAACTAGGACAAAATACTGGGACTAAAGGCAGGCCTCCCAGTGTTGATCCTCTTGCCTCAGTCTTCCCAGAAAGTAGAACTAAAGACTTGGTTTCTGAAATCCTTCTATTTCTCTCTCTTTGGCTGGGGATGGAGCCTAGTGGCAGAGTACCTGCCTAGCATAGGTCTTAGGTTTACTGCCAAATACAGACGGAGACAGACAGCCACTCTGGTCTCTTCAGATCAAGCAATCCCTTCTGAACAGGGGCTCCCTGACTAGCTTTTGAGCTTTTTGTTGTTATTGTCCTGGCTTCTCTGAAACTCACTATGTAGACTCATAGAGATCCCTCTGCCTCTGCCTAGCTAGTGCTAGGGCTAAAGGTTGCACCACCGCACCTGGCTGGCTCCCTGACTAACTTCCTGAAGACTTTCAAGCTGTGGAGTAAGAAGCAGAACTAGAGAGGACAGCCTGACAGTGTTGAGGGAGACTTAGAGTAGGCGGGGAAGGGGGAAGCTGTTGCAATAATCCAGGATGAAGGTAGGTAACACAAGCAAGGGTTGGGGAATGGTTGTAGTAAAGCCTGACTCAGCTCAGCAGCATACCTTGATACAGCAGGCACCAGATGAAAAGGAAGGTGGCTTGTTCCTGCACAGACAGGCTCCAAGTGGCACAGTCCCTGTCTGTGAAAGAACACAGCCAGCACCTGGAGGAAGGTCTGCAGGTGGGGTGTTGTGTTGGGTCAGGAAGCGGGGTCAGCAGTTGGAATGTAGTTCAGTGGTGAAGTGTTTGCTTAGCACATAAAAAGCGCTAAAAAAAAAAAAGAACAAGTCTGTCCAGGAGGCTCACACCTTTAATTCCAGCACTCAGGAAGCAGAGACAGGCAGATCTCTGAGTTCAAGGCCAGCTTGGTCTACAGAGCAAGTTCCAGGACAGCCAGGGCTACACAGAGAAGCCTTGTCTCAAGCAAAACAGTAACAACAAAACACCCTCCACCAAAAAATCCACAACCAGTCAAACAAAAAAAGCCCCCAAACCAATAAACAGAATTCCTGACTTGGTAGCAGAGGCTTGTAATCCTAGAATGTGTGTGGGAGAGGTGGCAGGTTGGGGAAGCATGGTTGCATGTTAGAAGGAAGCCCATGCTACTACATACTGTGACCTCCGTATCCATGGATGGATGGATGGGGGCGATGGCTGTGGTGAGTGGGTGAGATTTCTTTCTTTCTTTCTTTCTTTCTTTCTTTCTTTCTTTCTTTCTTTCTTTTTCAAGATGCTGGGACTAAAATCTCGTGCTTGCTTCCATCACCCAGTGAGTGGATGAGATTTCAAAGGAAAAGCCTCAAAGAAGAAAAGTAAATCTAGAGATAGACACCTGGGGAAGGGGAGAAAGAGAAAGGGAGGAAACAACCTGTCACTGAGCCTGCAGGTATAGGGAATTCCCAGTCAAGAGAAAGGTGTGCCTGAGGCATGGTGACACACCCCAGTAATTCCAGCACTTGGGAGGTAGAAATACTTCAGGAGTCAAAGGTTATCTTCAGGTACACAGCAGTTTAAATTTAACTGAGCTACATGGGAGACACTGTCAAAATAAGTAAATGGATAAAGGGTGGGGGTGGGCAGTTGGACAGACAAGACAGGCACAAAAGGGCTGGGAGAAACAATATTTTGAAAACACTATTTTGTGCAATCACTGGCTATTTGAGATTCTAGCAGTGTTAGGAACAGAAGTGCATTTCAAGGAGTCAGGAAAGAGGGGGTGTGAAAGACAGTCACAGGGACACTTTCCAGCTCCAGAGGAAAGCACATCTGAAACTCTTCAAGAGCATTGGTGGAGGCTGCTCAGGGGCTATCTTGCTGCTCTTTCAGAGCATCTAGGTTCAGGTCCCAGCACCCACAGGAGGTGGTTCACAACCACCTGTAACTCCAGTGCAGCACATGGAAGGGCCTTTGTGGGCACGGACACACATCCTTGTATATATTCAAGAGCAGACACGCAGCAACACACACATACATAAACATAAACCTTTCAGGAAAGAACTGTGTTTAGGAAAGGCATATTAGATCTGAAATGTCCCAAGGGGAACCCTGAGACCCACTCACCCCAACCTGCCTCAGTTCAAGGTTCTCTGTCTGGATTCAGGGTGGCAGCCAGGTCTGAGCATATCTCACCAGCCACCCTGTGAGCCATGGTCATGCCTTATGAATGAACAAAGCTGGGTGACACCCCCTTCTGCATGTATGCAGTGAACCCAGGCACCTTGTCTTCTTGTTCCCCCATCCCCTGTCACAGAGGCCTCACTACGGGCTTCTGGTTAGAGGGCAATCAGCCCAGGTATAGAGGCTCTGTTAGCCCTCTCCCCGGGGTCACCACAGCTCTCTGCTCCTTGTCTAAGCCTGACTTCATGCAGGACTCTCATATAGGCCAGGAACACTGTAGCAGGTGGTGTTCATTCCCCTTCTCCTGTCACCCCAGCCTTGAACAGCTTCACCTTGGTCTGCCATTTTCTTTCTTGTCTTCTGGAAATCTCCCTTCCCCAAACCAAAGCCCTATGCCCAATCTAGAAGGGGGTGAGAAGGCAAGGGTTGGGAACTCCACTGTGAATGAGATGCCAGGTCTTCTCAGTCTGGTTCTTTCTCGTTTGAGGTAGGGTTTAACACAACCCCCCCGTCCCCCCCCAGCAAGCCCAGCTAGGGCTGTCCTGGGAAACTATCTCCTGCTTTTGTCTTTTGCTGGCCAGCTCCCCTGCACCGCGGGGTGGGGGTAGAGGGAACAAGATGAAAGAAAAGTGAACGGATCGCCCAGGTGTTCTCTGAACCGTGGTCTTTGGAACTGCGGGTGATAAATCCACTAAAGTGTCTTTAATACCGTCTTTTGGAAGTTCACACAGACGCACACACAAATCAAAACAAGTCTAGGGAGAGAGGAGGAACACAGGCTCCCTTCCTTAGCCCTTCTGCCCCGCTGCCCAGGGGTTGGCACAGGTAGAAAGTATTTACATTGCAGGGACTTGATTGCTTTTCCAGGGTGAGGCGTACTAAGCCAGAAACTCCCCACTTCTCACTCCAAAGCAACAAAAACGGGAGTTCTGGAATTAGCTAGAAAATATAGACAGGAGTGGAAATCCGCACTGGCAAAAATCCGAGCCAGAGGGGTTGTAGTTCTCCCAGGGTTGAGTTCTTTTAGAGGGGTGGGAGGAAGAGTCCATCTGTTTGTGGGGTGGGCCTGAATTCACAAACCAGGAGCAAGACTGAATCATCTCCACCCCTCTCACCCCAGCAAGGAAGAGGGCGGAGCCTGCCGACCTGGAGGCGGAGTTTGTGGGAATTGGGGCGGGGCCTATGGAGAAAGTAGAGCTTCGGGGACCTGACTCCCTACTGGGGATCAGAGACCAGGAGAGTTCCGCCCCCACCCCCCACCCCGCACTACACTTTAATGGGGTGGGAACTGGGGCGATACTCGCTGGGCCAGAGATTCCGTGGGGGCGGAGTTAATGATGTCTGGAGATCCAGCCGTGCCGCGGGAGGATGTGCAGGGCGCGCGCGTTGGGTAGGAGGCAGGACCGCACGATGCTCCTGGAGGTCGGGGGGAGGGGGGGCACGGTGTGGGGCCGAAACGGGGACGTTTTTAGGGATCCCAGTAATTTTCATGGTGCTGGGCGGCGATTATGATGACTACGGTGAGAATGGTGCAGAGCACCATGGCTGCGATGCCCACGGCCAGGGAGATGAACGAGAAGTTCCGGGCCTCGCGCGAAGCGATCTCAGCGGACACCATGTCTCCGCGCGCCAAGGCTGTGCGCACCTACCCGGGAGGGACGCAGGAAGGGGGTCAGAGAGACACTGGTCACCCGTCGCAGCCTCCCTCTAAGCAGATGCTCAGAATGCGCTGAACTAATGAAATCCCAGTCAGCCCAGGTTTTCCTCTGCCCCACACACCTGCACGGCCTTGAAGATGGCGATGATGCCCGTAGGCCAGAAGCAGCAGATGGTGGTCAGCACAGCGATGGGCATATAGTCGTGTGGCGGGCGCCTGGGCTCCAACAGAGCCAGCCCTGGGCCCTGGGGCGGTGGGGGCAGAGTGGAGGTCACTCCGGGCCCCCCGGGGGTCCCACCTGCGTAGGGCTGTGGGAAGGACAGTGAGAGGAAAGGGGCATCACGCCTACACTCTAGCTACTTGTCAGCAGCTGGTCAATTGGCAGAGAGGTTCCTACAAACACGACTCTAAGGTTAAAGGGGGAGAAATTAACTCCCCATCCTTCTTCACTGTGAAGTCGGTCTACGTCACCCTTCTTTGTGTCATCCAGCCCCATATTCGTGGAACCTCGCACACTGTCTTACAAGGTATGGGTCAGGTCTGCACTTCAGGTCTTGTTTCCTTCCTCTTTGGCATCTCGAGGCTCAGGCTTTTCCCTCTTCTACCCCTGGCTTCCCACCTTCCACTTCTTCCTCTTGCTCCAAGCCAGTTTCCTTCCTTCAGACCTCTTGAATTTGAACCACCTCCGAAGCCTCGACCTTTGACCCCCAAGTATATCCCCCACCAGGTTTACCACCTTCCCAGGCACAGTCCCTTCCCTCACCACTCTTCTGTCTAGGGTTTGTTACCAAAACACCGGTCGTTCTGGTTCTATTTCTCTCTTTCCCAGCTGCCCGTGAGTCCCTGTAGCACCTGCCTCCCTCTCCTAGGTCCCATCAGCCCCACACTCACCGTGCCCACCGGATACACCGGGACATAGGCAGTGCAGGGCTGCAGCTGCAGCGGGTAGCCAGGCGCCACGTAGCCCCCCAGCGGCAGCGTGCCCACCGCCCCCGCGTGCGTGGGCACCACAAAACCCGGGGCTTGGGCCGTCGGGGCTGGCGCTGGTGGGGGCGGGGCGGCGGCCGCCGGAGGTGGTGGGGGAAGCGGGCCCTCGAAGCGAGTCTCCTGCAGATAAGGGTCGGGTGGCATGCGGGGTAAGGTAGCACAGCCGGGTGGGGGAGCCCCAGCGCCGGGACCGGGCGGGGCATGGTGGGGGGGCCGCGGTAGCGTGGCAGAGGACGAAGGACCACGCTGAGCGCTAGCTGCAGCGGAGGCCAGGCCACCTGCCCCTAAGCGCGGGAGGGTGGCAGTGCCCGACTGGTGGTAGTGGTGGTGGTGGTGATGGTGTGAGGAAGGGGCCGTTTGTGGGGGCGGGATGGGGGGCTCGGCCGGAGGTTGGGGGGCATTGTAGGGCGGCGGTGAAGTGTGGGGAACCGAGTCTGGAAGGCCTGGCCACCGGAAGCGGAGGAGAGGATGAGGGGAGAGAGAAAACAGCAGAGATCAGAAGGGGAAGAAACAGAGAATGAGAAACAGCAAGGGAGAGACAGCTGGGATGACATCTGCCATTTTGGGGGTCAAGGAAAGGGTTGTATGTATCTAGGCCACCTGCCCTCCAATCTGGTTTTGACATCACAACTGTAACAACTCTTCCCCAGCTCCTCCGCTGTCACTCACAGCTGCCAGCCACACATCCTCGGCTCTCTCAAAGCTATAGCTTCTGGACTAACCCTCTACATGTGTTCTCGACTTAACAGTTTTATGTGGATGACATTCCCACTTTCCTTCAGTGGAGAAACGAGCCAGGGGTTACCTGGGAATCTCATGGCCTCTATTAGGGCCCATTAAAAAAAGTCTCCTGAGACTAATCATGGTGGTTCGTGCCTCTAACCCTAGTACTTGTGAGGCACAGGCAGGGGGATGAGAAACCAGGGAGTTCACGGCCAGCCTGAGCTACATAGGGAAATCCTGTTTCAAAAAGAAAAAAAAAAAAAAAAAGTCTTCTAGATTTCACTTCCCTGACAACCCCTATCTGATCAAGCCGCAGTTATTTCTCCGCTGGGTGTCTCCATGCCAGTGAACCAGTGACTGGCCATCTGTCACTCCTAGTGATGATGCCCCTGCAGTACCTGGCTGTGCCTTCCTCTCCTTTTCAACCCCCCCCCATGTTGTTGACATGGCACAGAGGCAGACTGACCCAAAGAAAGGAAGAGAAGAGGGAGACAGAGAAAGAGGTGGGGGTATGAGTGGAGGGAAGGGGAATGGTACTGAGCCACATAACACCCCAGACAGTGTCAAAGAACGTGCTTAGGGCCAGTCAGGGGTTAGACAGGAGGTAATGGGGAGGGGGTATGGGGGATTTTTTTTTACCTGACTTTTCCGATGACATGTTTGCAGTCGCTGGGACAGGGTCTCTGAAGCTGGAGTCAGGGCCCCCTGGCTAGTGCAGGAGTATGGGTCCGGGATGGCGCAGCCGGCAGCGCGGCGGTGGCAGCACGCAGCGATGGAGAGATGAAGACAGTGTGTTGGGGGGGGGGGCAGAGGGAGAGAGTGGCAAGGGGGGAGCTTAAAGGGACCGAGGCCAGGGGGAAGAGAGAGCTTCAGAAGTCCCCCCCCCCAATCGTTCTTTCTCTGCGCTAGGACCACCTCTTCCCTCCTCTCACCCTGGCATTCAAGCCCCCAGTTTAGGCTCCCTTGGAGTTGTCATGGAAACCGGGAGGCAAGACCAGGCAAGGCGGGTGGGACTAAGAGAAGGAAGCAGGGAGAAAGAACTCTCTCGAGTCTCTTGTCAAAGACCCGCTTTAGTGATTACATCGTGGGAAGCCAGTTCAATGGATTCAGCCCACTTATCTCCAGACCTGCTCACCCAAGGGGTTCTTCGCTCAGAACTACCTGCAAGATAGCTCTAGGCTTCTCCAATTAGAGAGAGAACCAGGTGTGAGAGAAAATTGTACAAAGCTGGGAACCAGGAGAACCTGAAAATTCCCCCAGGTGTACAGCCTGGGTCTGGCCTCGAGGTTCAGGTCTGTAATTGGAAGCGCCTGCGGAGGGTACACAGGTACCTTCTTCCTCCGGAGTTAAGGAGCTGAAATGGTTTAGCAGAGAGAAGCAAGATGTAATTGCTTGTTTGTGACAATGGTTTAGCAGAGAGAAGCAAGATGTAATTGCTTATTTGTGATAGGCAGGTTTGAAAGGCGTGCTTGTGGGGGCTGGAGTGGTCTTGGGCGGGTCAGCATTCATATCCTTTCCCTATGGCAGCCCCTGTCCTCCCCTCCTCCCGCCCCAAGACGCGGTGGTGACTTAAGAGTCTTTTTATTTGCTTTTTGTGTTTTGGAAGGACGTGGGTGGGGAGGTGGGGTGAGGATAGACAGTCTGCAGAGATTACACCAGTTGGTCCTTTTGTAGAAACCTAGCAGAGGGATTAGAAATGTCCTCCCCTTTTAGAATTTCCCAGCCCTCGCCTGGGGCAGTTGCCCTAGGTCAGGGACGCTCTGGTGGCGTCCTGGAAGGCAGTCCCAAGCCCTGGCTAGATCAGGTACCAGGTCTGAGAAATTTCTACATCACGGCCTCATACCGGTGGTTCTGGTTTTTCAAGCGTGGATGGATCAGAGAGAATCCCAGATCCATCCCTCCCACACTGTCTTCACTATACGTTTCTGGTTTTATTGAGAGTCGAGTTTAGATTGAGCAAAGACCCTGAGTTCAGGCCGAGAGGCTCGGGCATGCTCAGAAAGCCTGGAAACTCATTTAACTGCTGAGTAAAAGTCCTGACGGGTAAAGGCCATTCCTGGGCACTCGGACGTGCGCTGGGGTCACGGGTAAAGCCGAGTGGTGCCAGCGCCCGCAGCGCGGAAGTCTGGCTGCAGTAGCAGGGTCTGTGTCGCCAGCAACCCGCAGGGATCCGAGGAGCAGATTGTTGGGGGTCGCTCAGGGTTGAAAGATTGGTGGAAATTCGGTGGTGAGTCCTTGCAGCCCCCGGGGCCCTACGCCCATGGAAGGTGGGTCATGAAGGGTTGGTCGTGTATGCAAAGATAAAAGTAGAGCCAGAGAAACTGGGCCAGGCTGCACTTCACTCGAGGGGCCTGAAGGACTCTCGGCGTCTCCGGAGACAAGGGCACAACACGCACTTCAAAGTGAAGAGTTGTAAGGCGCTGATCCGGGGCGCTAGGGCAGGCAGGAGCGGGAAGAGGGGCGGCTCGCTGACCTGCCAGTTGCCTGGCTTCCAGCTACAAGCTGGGGTAGACTTTCGTCAGTCCTCACCTTCCAGACCAGAAATTCGGGCTCTGCTACAAAGCCAGACAGCCTGGATTGCAAAGTGGGGCGCATCAAGGAGGGGAAGTAGCACCCTGGGTGGCTGGATGCAGCCGACTGTAGGAAAGCCTTCTCTAGATACAGACACATAAGATTATCTTTGCTGTTGTTTCTCCCCTTCCGGCTGAATGGATCGCTCCGCCCGGTCCCTCCCCAGCTCCTTGGGTGCAATGGAATGTTCCATTGCCTCTCCGGTTCGCGGTACGCGTTTCAGGGGACGCTCTCGCTGTTGTCAGGGAAAGCCCCGGACGTGACGGCTTTCCGCGACCCCGAGCACCCCCCCTCCCATCCGTCATACCCCTGCGCGTTCCCCTAGTCCCCCTTTCCCTCCTAATCTGTGGATTCCAGACTGGGTACAAGTAAACAGCTGGCGGAGCGAAGCCTCCAGACCCAGGCCAGGTGGGAGTCTCCACTCTCCATGGAGCCCGGGCTGCTGCTCTGGGGCACTTGCTGAACCCGGAGTTGTGCATGGCCGAGGTGATACTTACGGAAGATCCTGGGCCTAGGGACCAAGTCCCTTGAGCGCCAAGTTAGGGGCGGGACTTAGGATGAGCATTAGCGCAACGAGGTGGTAGGGGGTGTGTTTGTGCCGAACCAACTGGAGTAAGTAAAAGTAGGCTATTGTGACAAGGACCTGGTATAGGAGCGAAGGCCGGAGGGATTGCTTGCTGGAAGTCTATTGGGAGCAGAGGGGGGAGGGGGTCGCTTCCCTCACAGCCCCTCGTTCCTTCTCAGGTGGGAGCATGCCGGGGCTATGGAGGCAGAGGCTCCCTTCGGCGTGGGCTTTGCTCCTCCTGCCATTCCTGCGGCTGCTGATGCCCGCAGCCCCCGCACCCCACCGCAGTTCCTACAAGCCAGTGATCGTGGTGCACGGGCTCTTTGACAGTTCCTACAGCTTCCGCCACCTGCTGGACTATATCAATGAGGTCTGTCAGGGGACGCTGGGTGGAGGGTATTGGAGCAATAGTGTCTGGGGTGGAAGCGTGGGCAGCTGAAAGACAACCCCTCTAGACCAGTTTCTCAGGGTACTGCTACTAGCATGAGGGGACTTGGGGGTTGGGGGTCCCTGATTCCAGCAAGCATAGTGAATGCACGTGGCCTCCGTAGGCCAACCCCAGTGGCTGCATTGCCCCCTTCCCACAGACACACCCCGGGACTGTGGTGACTGTACTTGATCTCTTCGATGGCAGAGAGAGCTTGCGGCCCTTGTGGGAACAGGTGCAAGGGTTCCGAGAGGCTGTGGTCCCCATCATGGAAAAGGCTCCTGAAGGGGTGCATCTCATCTGCTACTCCCAGGGTAGGCAACAAACACTCACTGACTCCCAAGCCCTATTCGAGCTTAACCCTTATCTCAGGCGTGCTTTTCAGCGTTTGCTTTTCAGAACTTCATAGCTCTGGTCAGAGGCTTAGTAAATGTGCCCCATCATCTGTTTTCCTCCTTTGTGTCCTGGACGGGAGGGAGGCTTCCTTCCATCCTCACTTTCCATGATTCTTAGAGTTAAGGATTTGGAGAGCTGCTAAAAGGCTACCAATTGGTCAGAGGCCTAGACATTTATCTTGGTACTATCAGGTGATACCACTTGACTTGTTGGCATAGGATGTGTCTTCAGTCTTGGATCCCTTTTTTTTTTTTTTTTTGGTTTTCGAGGCAGGGTTTCTCTGTATTGCTTTGGAGCCTGTCCTGGAACTAGCTATGTAGACCAGGCTGGACTTGAACTCACAGAGATCTGCCTGCCTCTGCCTCCCAAGTGCTAGGACTAAAGGTATGCACTACCAACGCCCGGCTAGTATCCCATCCTAAGACCTCTTTCCAGCATTGGTGCTCTGCCTCTAGGGGGTCTGGTGTGCCGAGCTTTGCTGTCTGTCACAGATGAACACAATGTGGATTCTTTCATCTCCCTCTCCTCTCCACAGATGGGACAGTATGGAGGTGAGTGGGCACTGTGGGTTCCATAGAAGGCAGCATGTTTGGGGCACAGGGTTGGGGTCACTTGGCACTGCCATTCTTTCCTCAGACACAGACTACTTGAAGTGGCTCTTCCCTACATCCATGCGGTCTAACCTCTATCGGATCTGCTATAGTCCTTGGGGCCAGGAGTTTTCCATCTGCAACTACTGGCATGGTAAGTGGGGGGTGCTGCCCTGGGGCCTGTGTGGACATGCACACAGGGTGAGGCCTGCTGTGCCCACCTCTACTGTAATCAGCAATAGTGCATTTATCAAACACTTCTAATCAAATAGGTACTGTTGAGAATGTTGTTTGCAGGCCACTCAGGTGCCTCAGAGAGGGTAGTCTGGTGCAAATTTTCCTTTTAAAAAGTTAATGGAAAAAAAAAAAAAGTTAATGGAAGCTGGGCATTGGTGGTGCATGCCTTTAGTCTCAGCACTCTGGAGGCAGAGGCAGGTGGATCTCTGTGAGTTCGAGGCTGGCCTGGTCTACAGAGCTAGTTCCAGGACAGGCTCCAAAGCAGGTTGGTCTTGAACTCACAGAGCTTGCTTCTGCCTCCCCAGTGCTGGGATTAAAGGCATGTGCCACCACTGTCCATCCGTGAATGATTTTATATTCAGAAACAAGTAACAGACTGGATTTGCTCCTTTAGGGACCACCCTCTAGTGTAGGGTTGTGTGCCTGGATGCTGGGGCCAGATTGTGGCTTGCAGCCTGGTTCTGTTGGGTAACCTTGGGTGCTTTATGAGATTCAGTCTCCTTCTGTAAAGTAGCATGTACCTTGTGAGGTGATTAGCATCATTAAATTAATGAGAGTAAAACACTTTAACAATCACTGGCTCATACAAGGTGCCAGATAAAAGTGCCTTCCCCGGAGCGGCAGGGTGCTGACACACACGTTTATTCCCAGCACTTACTTGGGAGGCAGAAGCATTCAGATCTCTGTGAGTTCAAGGCCAGCTCGGTCTACAGAGGGAGTTCTAGGACAGACTCCAAAACTGCACAGAGAAACCCTGTCTCAGAAAAACCAAAAAGCAAACAACAGTGCCCATGTTTATCCGTTTTCTTTTTTCTTTTTGTTTTTTAAACACTTGTGTTGTATGGCTGAATGTCTGAATTCACTATTAGACTTGTTCATTTGTGTATTTTAGTATATGGGCACTTTGTCTGCATGTACATCTGCATGCCAGAAGAGGGTATCAGACAGTTGTGCTGACATGTGGGTGCTCGGAATTGAACTCAGGACCTTCGGAAGAGCAGGGAGATAGATGTCTTGACCACTGAGTCATCTCTCCAACCCTATCTTCACTATTACTGTAGTCTTTACAGTAGTCTTCCCATTGTGGTTTTTGTTTTGTTTTTGGTTTTTCAAAACAGGATTTCTCTTGAACTCACAGAAACCACCTGCCTCTGCCTCCCCAGTGCTGGGACTAAATAAAGATGTGCACTATCAACACCTGGCATTCTTCCTTTTTTTTTTTTTTTTAAATTAATTTTATGTGTGTGGGTATTTTTCTGCATATATGTGCACCACATACATGCCTGTTGCCTGTGGAGGCTGGAAGATGGCATTGGATCCCTGGGACTGGAATTACAATTTGCGCTACCATGTGGGTGCTGGGAATTGAACCAGAGTCATGAAAGAGTAGCCAGTGCTCTCAACTGCTGAGCTGTCCCTCCAGCCACCTTGAACTCTGTGTAGGCAGGGATGACTTTGAACTGATGTTCCTGATGTAACAACCTGAGTGCCAGTATTACGGGTGTGGCCCATGCATGTCCAGCTTATGCAGTACTTGGTGTCAAATCCCAGGGCTTCAGCATGCTAGGCTACACCCCGGCTCCTAGCTATCTCCCTAACTGCTGTTTGTACTCAGATCCTCACCATGATGACTTGTACCTCAATGCCAGCAGCTTCCTGGCCCTCATCAACGGGGAAAGAGACCATCCCAATGCCACCGGTAAGGTCCTATTCCTACCTGTGTCCCTCTTCTGCATCTGTTCTGGCCTGCGCCCTGTGGCTGACCCCATCTCTCCCCATCTCTGCAGCGTGGAGGAAGAACTTCCTCCGAGTGGGCCGTCTCGTGTTGATTGGGGGTCCTGATGATGGAGTCATCACTCCCTGGCAATCTAGGTAACAAGGGATTATAGGGGCCGAAGACCTGGCCTGGTAGCGCATACAATAGATGTTCTTTTAGAGATGGACCCGGTGTGTAGCCCAGGCTTGACCTCTTACCTTTGCCTCCCAAGTGACTGGCATTATTACCACATTCACGTCTTTTTGATGATGCTTGGTATTGGGTCCCAGGACTTAAATCTGCTATGCATGTGCTCTGTGTATGTGCTGGACATGAGATCCAGGAACTTACACACTCTAGGCATGTGTTCTTCATACTTGACCCTTGTAGAAATATTTGAATGTGAGGCAAGGAGATCACTTGAGCCCAGGAGTTCAGGATGAGTCTGGGCAAGATAATGAGACCATTTCACCAAACACACAAAAATCTGATATGTTTAATCCCAGTAATTAGGAGACAGAGGCAAATGGGTCTCTGTTTCAGCTCATCCAGGGCTGTTTGTTTGAAACCCTGTGTCAAAAAAACAGAACACTGCCACCATACAGTGTTTGGATTCTGGCAGCTGGATTCTGGCTTAGTTGGTACGGTGCTTGCCTAGCATGCCCAGGCTCCGTCCTAGCTCTAAGATAGAGGAGGAGGATGAGAAGGTACTACATAGTGAATATGAGGCTAGCTTGGGCTACATGAGACCTTATTTCAAAAATCACACAGGAACACTCATACACACATAATTGTGAAATAATCATGGTATTTAGGAGGTTGCAGAGTTCCTGATTTTACCTGGGGCTTTGTTGTAAGAACAAACCATTAAACTCAGACTGCTGGGTGTGGTGGTGCACATCTTTAACCCCAGAGTTTAGGAAGCTGAAGCAGGTGGATCTCTGAGTTCAAGGACTGCCTGCTCTACATAGTGAGTTCCAGGACAACCAGAAACTCTGCAGAGAGACCCTGCCTTAAAAAACAAACAAACAAGAAAAACAAAGTCAGGGCATTGACATCACTATAGTGTGAGAGTGAGGTTCCGGCCCCTTCTTGCGCCAGGCCTGGTGAGAGTGTCTACCTCAACCCCTCTGTCTTATTCCTCAGAAAGCTGGTGGCACTGCAGCTCTGCACACCTGCCTCTGTGGTGTGTCATGGGGAAGTGATCTGTGAGTGTCACCTGAAATTTACTCAACAAATATTTATTGAACACCATATGTGTGCTCAGGTGCTGTTCTGGGCCCTGGGGAAGCATTGGCAAAGGAAGTCCCGATGTCCTGTTCTTTATACACTAAATTAGAAATACTATGGCAAGTGCAGTGACAGGAGGCAAGGGCCTGTTGTAGCCTGTGGTCAGGAAGTGTCCTCGAAGGAGCTGTCATTGGAGCGAGCCTGGAGAAGTAAGGGAAGGCTTGTGCCATGGGAGCCTAGTAGAGCCTGGTGAGGACTGGGGAAGGCCGTGTGAGGAGAGCAGGAGTACAGGAACTCTGGGCATGGTTGCCTTGAACCCTTGTAGGCCAGTGTTAGTTTCTTCCTCCTTGTGACAAACTGTAGAGTGTAGTGGGCGTAACTGCAATCCTAGTATGTTGGCAGAGGCAGAGGCATAATTATTGTGTTTGTGGCCAGCCTGGGCTACCAACAGAAAACAATAAGCTAACGGATAACATTGAGCTGAGAGGTTGTAGCTCAGAGTATTTGGCTAGCATGCTAAAGTCCCAGGTTTGATTATTCTGTTTGTTTCTGGAGACAGGGTTTCCCTGTGTAGCCCTGACAAGACTGGCCTTGAACTCACAGAGATCCTCCTGCCTCTGTCTCTTGAGTGCTGGGATTAAAAGCCTGTGCCACTGCACCTAGCTCCTGGATTTGATTCTCAGTATCAGGATGAAAGAAAGATAGCAAATCAGTGGATAGATAGGTAGGCAGAAGTTATGATTTTTTTTAAAGGCTTATTTATTATGTATGCAGTGTTCTGGCATGTAGATGGTTGTGAGCCACCATGTGGTTGCTGGGAATTGAGCGCGGGACCTCTAGAAGAGCAGCCAGTGCTCTTAACTGCTGAGCCATCTCTCCAGCCCTATGATTTTTTTTAAAGTTTGGTTTGAGACAAGAGTATCCTGTTTTCCAGGCTGGCCTCAAATTTGTTGTGTAGCCAATGACATTTGTTACCATGTTAAGTTTATGCAGGGCTGGGGATCAACCCAGGGCTTCCTGCATGCTAGGCAATCACTACCAACTCAGCTACATACCCAATCTTAGAAATTACAGGGTTTTTAAAAAATTGTATTTAATTTTATGTGCACTGGTGTTTTGTCTGCATTCATGTCTGTGTGAGGATGTTGGATTCCCTGGAAGTGTAGTTAGAGTTGTGAGCTGCCATGTGGGTGCTGGGAATTGAACCCAGATCCTCTGAAAGAGCAGCCAGTGCTCTTAACTACTGTGCTGTCTCTCCAACCCCCAACTCCTGGTCTTTGAATAGTTAGCATTTGTCAAGTTATTGACAGGAGGGTCTACTTGCTTGCTTGTAATTTTTTCTTTTTTGAGAAAAAAAAATGCTATATTTTTTTAATTAAAAAAAAAAAAAAAAGTTGACTTGAGTCTGTAAAGGTGCCTGGTCACTTGTGCTCAATCCCTGAAAACTGTGCAAAAGTGGGAGGAGTGAATCCATAAAGTTGTCCTCACAGAATAAATTAAATTTTAGGTGGGCATGGTTGTGAATACCTTTAGTCATAGCATCCTGGAGTCAGAGGCAGGTAGATCTCTGAGTTCTAGACCAGCCAAGGCTACATAATGAGAAGCTGCCTCAAAAAAAAATCCAAACAAACAAACAAAAAATTAAGGTATCTCAAAACAAAACAAACATTAAGCTGAACATGGTACCACATGCCTGTCCTCTGCACTCACTGGGAAGCATAGGGTTCATAGTGAGACCCTGCACAAAAACTACTCATTGACTTATTTGCAGTATTGAGTATTGCATCTGGCATCTATGCTAGGCATGTTTTTCTGTGTGTGTTTGGTTTTTGAAACAGGGTCTCTCTACATAGCCCTGGCTGTCCTGGAACTCACTGTATAGACCAGGCTGGCCTTGAGCTCACTGAGATCCTCCTGCCTGTTTTTGAGTGCTGAGATTGTAGACATACACCACCACTTGGTTCTTGAACCATGTTTAGCTGTGTCTACATGTGGATGTGTACATATGTGTAGGTGCTGTCACCAGCTGCTCTTATCTGCTGAGCCATTTCTCCAGCCCCCAAATTTACATTCTTTTTAAATTTTGAATTATGTGTATGACTGTTTTGCCTTCATGTACTTGTATGTACCACATGCATGCCTGATATCCAAGAGGATATAAGATGGCATGGATTGCCTGGAACTGGTGTTACAAATGGTTGTGAAATACCATGTGGTACTGGGAATTGAACCAGACTCTTCTGGAAAAGCAGCCAGTGCTCTTAACTGCCAAATTAACTCTCCAACCCTTAAAATTCTTTAAGTCAGGAATTGTTCTTAGTTTTTTGTTGTTTGAGGCAGGGTCTCTGAGCTTGAACATTCTATGTAGCTAAAGCTGGCCTTGAACACTTTATACTCTGCCTTCACCTCTCAAGTGTGTCATGGTGCCTAGCTCCTCTTAAAGAATTTGGGTATCCTCCATGATGCCTGTCTCCCCTGGGAGCTTTGAGTCTCAATGGGACACTAGTGCACATTAGTTTTCCTGGTTCTCCTGATATCTTCCCTGCAAATCTCTTTGTAGCTTCTTTGGTTTCTATGATGCCAATGAGACAGTCTTGGAGATGGAGGAGCAGCCGGTAAGATAGCCTCTTGGAACAACTCCTTTCTCCCTCTATTTTCTTCCCTCATTCTGGTCTCCCTCTGCCTCTGACCTCTGAGCTGAAGGGTCTGCCTCATGGGGCCAGGACAGCAGGGGTGGGGTAGGGGTGGCTCTACAGCAGCAGTATCCTCACTTTGTCTCTTTTTTTCCCCCGTGTTTCCCCACCCCTCCACCTCCTTGAAGGTTTATCTGCGAGACTCCTTTGGGTTGAAGACTCTCTTGGCCCGGGGGGCCATAGTGCGGTGTCCAATGGCTGGGATCTCTCATACCACCTGGCACTCCAATCGCACGCTGTATGATGCCTGCATCGAGCCATGGCTGTCCTGAAGATGTCCTCAGGGATTCCCCAGCCCAGAGACCAAGTGGTGGCCTTGGGAAGCAGATGCCAGACTCTGGCAAACCTGTGACCACCTCCTCGCTCCCACACTGCCCTGCCCCACCAGGGTTCCCTGGATCCTCCTCCCCTCTGCTCCTCTGAGAATGACAGGTCCTGGTCCCCTACCTCATGTCCTCATCTGGGGATGTCTCCATGCTCTCCCTTTCTCCCACAGCTGAGGTTGGGAAGCGAGCACCAGGGTTTTTTAACTGGCTTCATCGCTGCTCCTCCTCCTCCGGGTCTGGCTGTACCGGAGGACCCAGCCCCTGCCCATCACAGGGGTGTCTTTCCAGGCCACTCAGGACATTTTTAGCTTCTATTGTCCCTGTGCTTTTTTTCTCTCAACTCCCCTGTCGTCAGCCTCCCCACCAAGAGGGACGCTCGTAAGAGGGGTTCTGAGGGTCCCCTATGGGGACAATTCCACATTTGAAGTGTCAGTGTTGGGGAATATCTGTGGCCTGCAAGGCCCATCTCAGGTTTGGGGATTCCCCCAGTCCCTATGATCAGTATTGGGGTATCCCTGGGAGCCTAGGTTCTTTGAGGTCCCAGCCCCTCTTTTAAGTACCCTTGATTGGGTGTTCCCTGTATTTATAGAAATAAAGTTCCATTTCCTCAGGGTGGCTTGGCTTATTCCCAGGTGAAGGGGACTTGGGCTCCCCCAAGAGGGTGGGAATAGAAAGCCTGGGGCCTGGGTGTCCAGATGCCTGGTGTGGGGTGGGGACCCCCTTGGTGTTTCCGTGCTCTCAATGCCCATTCTGTTTAGGTTCCTGACTCTCTGTGGGTTCTTTCCTGCTGGAGACAATTCTCTTCCTGTCCCAGCCTAGGGTTAGGGGGCTGAGTGAGCCCCAGGCTCTGTAACTTTGGGCCTCAGCGTCATGGGCAGAATAGGTCTACCATCCCCGGCCTAGATGAGGGGGCTGAGGGTCAGGGTGGACATGTGTCATACCCCTTGACCTTTGTAGGCCAGGGCTGGGTGAGGGGCTGTACAGTGAGTCTCACTTTGTCTGGGAGGAGGAATTTGGACTGAGACAATAGAGCCCTGTCTGTTCTGGCTTGGGGGTGGTGTCCCCCAACCCCCAGTAAATGCCATCAAGGGATGAAGGCAGTTTTCCTCTGGTGGGTTGGGCGCGCCTGCCTGTCTATGACTGTTGTCTCTCCTCAGCCTATCTTGCCTGTTTGGCCATGACCTGCTCTTGCTTGGCTCCTGCCTTTTTCCCCACCTTCACATTCTCCCACAGTCTGTGTTAGGTTGAAGGGGATGGGGGTGCTGGTTGCTATTAGAGCCAGGAACTTATGATTTGGGGCCCTTCAAAGGTTTTGTAGGTCCTTCTAAGCGGCTCTTGGCTGAAGAAAGGGGCCTGAGACTGGGAGTCTTGTGGGAGGGGTCAGGAGTAGGAGGCTGCTCTCTGGCCCCGCCTCTTCTTCTCTTCTAAGCGGGGAGAGGCCCACCCACCAGTCTGAGAGCTGGGGTTGCTGATGCGGCTGCAGTTTCCCGGCTGGGAAAACAGGTGGAAAGAGGATGTTACTAGGGGAAAGGAAGTCAGTGGTGGGAAGGATTGGGGCTGCTTGACCTTAGGATGGGTATGTGCTGGGAGGGAGGGTTCCTGAGTGAAGGGTGTGTGTCTGGGGAATACATGATGGTGTGGGAGAATAATGGTGGCAGAAATGTGTTTAATATGCTTGGGTTTGTGTGTAAGGTGCAAGGTGTCTACAGTTTTGAAGGTGAAGTTCCAAGGGTTGTGTGGGAGGGCTGGGGGCTGGCCATTAGCTCTGGAGTAGGGTGAGCCTGGCTGAACAGTTCATGATTTGCTAATGGCAGGCCACGTCTGATTAAATGTACGGGCCTCTCGCTGTAGACCATGTGAGAGGCTCATTTAGGAGACCTTGACCTCAGTAGATTGTTTCAGGAGGGTCAAGACTGGAGAAGGCAGAAAGAAGTGAAGAATCTGCAATAACTCCCTGTCTGCAGCCCACAGAGTCTGGAAGAAACATGGGGCTCAGGGCTGAGCTGTGCGTCTTCCTAATTGGACTTTTATTTCTCCTGCTATTGATGTTGGGCGAGGGGCACAAAAGAGGATCTTTCAAACAAAGGTGACAGCAAATGGGGTTGGGCCAGGGCGAGGTCTTTGCTGGGGGCTGGGTTTGGCAGGGCGCAAATCAAATTGAAAGTTTAGATTGAGAGCGAGACAGAAGGCCATGAGTGCCTGGCCTCACCAGCAGCTGTGTAAGAATGGGCTCAAGCTGCTGAGGGCCTGCCACACTCAGGGTCTTCTACCTTCACTCCTGGCATGGCTGCAGTTTGGGGGTCTGTTCCAACCACACGCTGGTGGTTCCCCTTCGCTACAACGAGTCCTACAGTCAGCCCACATACAAGCCCTACCTGACTTTGTGTGCTGGGATGCGGATATGCAGCACCTACAGGTGAGACGTGAAGCCTTAGGACCTAGGGTCTCAAAGGGATCCCAGGAACCAAGCCCAAGATGGGCACCCAGAATCCTGACCCAGTTCTGTGTTCTAGGACCACTTACCGTGTGGCCTGGCGGGAGGTGAGGCGAGAGGTACAGCAGAGACATGTGGTGTGCTGCCAGGGCTGGAAGAAGCCACACCCAGGAGCTCTCACCTGTGAAGGTGAGCCTGGGACTTGAGGCCTTTGTAGGGGGTATTGAGTGGTGCTGGGTAGGTGGCTCTGAGTCCGGGTCTTAACTCTCTCCCCCCAAATGCACCCCAGCCATCTGCTCCAAGCCTTGTCTAAATGGAGGTGTCTGCACTGGACCGGACCAGTGCGAGTGTGCCCCAGGCTGGGGAGGCAAGCGCTGTCATGTGGGTGAGCAGGTTGGGGCGGGAGCTGGGATCTCCCTCTACCACCACCACTTTGGCGCTCTGCACCCTTCAGCCCCCTTCTCTTTCTGGCAACTAGACATTGATGAATGCAGGACCAGCCTTACCCTCTGTTCTCACGGCTGTCTGAACACCCTGGGCAGCTTCACGTGCAGCTGTCCTCACCCGCTGGTTCTGGGTCCGGATGGACGCACCTGTGCAGCGGGGCCTCTGGAATCCTCAACAAGTGCCAGCATCCTCAGTGTGGCGGGTGGGTATGGGATGCCCGCGGGGTGGGCCTGGGTCTCTGTAGTAGGTCAGGCCATGCTCAGTCTCCTTTGTCCTAGTTCGGGAAGCGGAACGTGAGGAGCGAACCCTGAGGGAGGTAGCAGAGCTACATGCTCGCCTGGAGCGGCTGGAGCAGGCAAGCAGCAGGCGGAAGCGGCCATATGGGAGGGGTGTGTGTGTGTGTGTATGTGTGTGTGCAGGTACCTCCAGGACCTTGTCAGAATCCTGAGGTACCATTTTCTTTGCAGTGGGCCACACAGGCTGGGGCTTGGGTCCGAGCAGTGCTCCCCATGCCGCCTGAAGAGCTGCAGCCCGAACAGGTAGCTGAGCTGTGGGGCCGGGGTGACAGGATCGAGTCCCTCAGTGACCAGGTGCTGCTGCTTGAGGAAAAGTTGGGTGCCTGTGAGTCCTCCCCCAACTGAAGACACAGTATCAACCCAGCATCTCACTCCTGAAACTCCCCCACAGTCCTCACCCCCAGAACCGCTCCCTGCTGACCACAGCCATCTTGCCCCTTTACCATTAACTAGGTGCCTGTGAGGACAACAGCCTGGGCCCAAGCCTCCACGGTTGACAAGGAACGGAGTCAGCAGCCTGGATCCCTAATTTATACATAAACTGCACTATCTGGGATTGGCAGATGGGAGTATTGACCACCAAGGCACAATGAGCCACAGAGCCCCCAGATCTCTCTTTCTCTTTATTCTCAGTTGCTTGCTGTTACCCAGATAATAAAAACCAACCACATAAAACCGGGTTCCACTCGTTCCTTCTGCCCCCAGCCTATCTCCTGGGTCTTAAGAGTGGGTCTAGAGTGGGAGGCAGGGGGAGTGGCCAATGCCACTGGGAGGAAATGAAAACTGCTCAGAGAGGGAGGTCCCTCAAAAGAAAGAGAAATAAATTAAGCACCCCCTCTCCCTCTCACCAGGGTCAGGTTCTTTCCCCTAAGGCCCCAGGGAGCAGAGAGTGCGGCTTCTAAGATCCACCCCTCCAGAATTTCCTTAGATGGTGCCAGGCCAGGACCCTGAAGACCTCTACCAAGGGGATAGGGGAAGCAGAAATTGGCATCTGAAGTGGGCTCAGCCCCTGGCACAGGCAGGGGTAAGAGCTCTGAGTTAGAAGAGCCCAGCCCCGCTGAGGCTGAGGGGGACAGTGTTGAGGAAGTTCCCCAGGTGAGCGAGCCAGTGGAGTGTTCAGGTTCAGCTTCCAGCCACAGGATGAAGAGTCCTCCCTAGTAGATGGGTCCACTCAATCTGTGGACTTGGGGTAAGGGATGGATTGTTCCACAGAACAGATGAGTCCATTGTCCAGTGTGGGGTGGAGAGGGAGAGAAGGCCACAAAGAGACCACTTGGGGTGGGGATGGGATGGAATGTCCCCCACCCTTGTATCCGATGAGCCACTTGAGATGAGGGGAGGCAACTGTCCCACAAGACAAGATGGCAGGTGGGGATCGGAGTGGAGGCTGTACGCACGCCCACGCAGGAGAGTCCATGGATAGGGGAGGGAAAGGACATGGAGTGATGCTGTATCCGTATTCACTTCAGAAGCTGAAGATTCCAAAAGGAGAGTAGGGAGTGGGGACCCAGGAAGGGGCCTGGCCCTGCTTGAGGCTCTGGGTCAGAGGTATGGGGAGAAAGATGGGAAGGGTGGGAGGGAACTCAGAGTCGGGCCTCGCCCGCTCCCCCAGGCTTTTTCAGACAGTCACCGCCACCCAGGCCATCAGTGGAGATCTCCCGGAAGATGGTAAGCATGGAGTGCCGGACTCGGTCTGCCAGAGCTGGGACATCATCTGGTGTCAGCCCTTCTGTGCGCACTGGGGGCAGCACCCGCACCTGACATCGTCCTGGTGGGATAAGCAACAGCATCATGGCCCCGCACTCTTGGTTCTTGGCCAACGGTAGTGCAATCCCGCTACGCCTTTCCTCCACCTTCCGGGTCTCTCCTGTAAACCAGGATGACCGTTGCTCTGCACGCCAGCTGCTGACAAACTCTCCAGAGCCCTGTCCAGTCCTCTCTGCACGATTCCAGCGTGCGGTCAGTGTTCAGGGCTGTTACCAGTCCAGCTCTGCACAGGCCAGCTTCACTTTCCCTTCCAGACTGTAGCAGTCTCTCTTAGAGAGACTGGTTCTACCTACCTGGCATCCAGTGGGTACTTAAAGTCCCCTTGCCTCAGGGACATTCCTCAGCCTGCCATCAACTTTCTGGCCACACCCTCCCCAGACCAGCTCAGTGTCCTCAAGCCAGGTGAGCTCACCCGAGGTGAAACGTCGCTCCTTTTTACAGTAGAAGTCTTGATAGGAGGACATAACTATGGGGACAATGGGAACCTGGGAAGAGGCAAAGCCAGTGAGTACACTTCCTGGGAAGAAAGGAAGGAAGGAAGGCAGGCAGGCAGGCAGGCAGGCAGGAAGGAAGGAAGGAAGGAAGGAAGGAAGGAAGGAAGGAAGGAAGGGAGGGGGTCTGGGTGCTGATGAGGAGAAAGCAGTATCACCTGGGCTTGCACTGCAAGGTGGAAGGCGCCACGTTTGAAGGGCAGCATGGAGCCATTGTGGTTTCTTGTTCCTTCAGGAAAAACCCAGACTCTCACCTGAGGAAAAGAGGTCAGAAGAACACACATAAAGGAGGGTCAGCAGCTGGCATGCTGTAATAAGGACATAGCACAGATCATCAGTGATTCAAAATAATTTACTCCTTAACCCCCAAAATCCCCATCCCAGGAAGACTCACATCCTGGGTGAGCAGGGTCTGGGCCACCTCAGACATGACACTGATGGCATCGCCTGTACGTTTCCGGTCAATGAAGATGACTCCTCCCAGCCAGCAGGCCAGCCCGGCAGAGCCAGCCCAGAGTAGCTCACGCTTGGCAATGGGCACACAGCGGTCTGGCAGCACCTCCATCATCCCTTGGCGGGGTGGGGATGGGGTATGGATCAGGGTACAAGCAGGATCAGAGCAGGCACCATGCCCACCCCAGGTCGCCACCCACACAACTGAAGAGGAGCGGGCTGGAGAAGGCCTGAGAGAGCAAAGCACCTACAACTGATGAGGGCAGACCCACCCTGGGAGAGGAGACCTGAGCAGGGGTGACATTCAAGAGGAGGGGGAACTGAGGACCTCTAGGGACACAGGTCTGGGGGCCAGAAGAGAAGGCTCAGTGATAGGACTGGGGCCCTGTGGAGAGGCCTCACCGAGCAGGTCGAGGGAGCTCTGGTGGTTGGAGACCACAACGTAGGGCTGCGTGGGAGGGAAGTGTTGAGCCCCCCGCACCTCCACTCGGATCCCATACAGGTATTTGATGTGGAGCAGCAGCAGACGCAAGATCCTGTGGGGTCATGGCAAGGGGGCCCAGTGGGATCCACTGACGCCCACTTCCATGCCTCTGTGCCTCTCTGTGCCCGCCGATCTACTTGCTTCCTGGTCATCTTTGCAGTCCTTTCCCCCATCCTTGTCTCTGGATTTGTGTTTGGGTTCTTCTCCCCTGCAAATCTACCACTCCCTTCTCACCCTTGGGAACCCTCAAAACCCACCATTTCATGACCCTTGGGCCCTTACTTCATGTTCTCGACATTTCGTCCACGCACAGCACACAGAGGGATTACGAGTATAGCCAGGAAGAGGATCCAACCGTTGTAGAAGGCCATCTTGAAGAAATACTTGGCACTGGGGCTGCAGAACCACAGGGTGGACAGCAGGAGGAGCAGTAGCAGCAGCAGCGCTGTCCAGGCCCCGGGCCACAGCTCCATTCTGGTCACCTACAGGTGAGAGAAGCCGGGTTAACCAGGTACAGGAGGCAAATCTGGGAGATCTCCAAGAATGGGGAAGAACCCAGCCCGAGACCACTGTCCACTGCAGCTCCAGGACTCTGGATACAGACAGACAAGAGCCCCGAACACCCACAACTCTTGGTCAGTGATAAGGGAACAGCAAAGACACAAGCTAACACTTGTGGCTAGAAAGGACTATTTTATTTTGGAAGCAATGTTTCATTCTAATCCAAGCTGACCTGGAACTCTGGAGCCCAGGTTGGAATTCTGGAACCCAGGCTAGTCTCTAATTCACAGCGATCATCTCTGTCTCCTATACACTGAGCTAACAGGCACAAGGCACCACAGCCTGCTCTGGACAGGCAGTCTACAGCTGTATTGTTCACTCCCAATGGAGAGAGAGGGACTGGGAATATTGAATGCACACCAGACTCTTGAGGATTCTGGGTGAAATGTAGGCATGTAAAATGTCCCATCAAGCCAGGAGTTGGTGGCACATGCCTTTAGTCCCAGCACTTGGGAGGCAGAGGCAGGCAGATCTCTGTGAGTTCAAGGCCAGCCTGGTCTACAGAGAGAGTTCCAGGACAGGTTCCAAAGTTACAGAGAAACCCTGTCTTAAAAAAACTAGGGGAAAAAAAATTCCCATCAGTAACACCCCGCTCCTTGTTGGTCCCTGGGCACTCTAGGAAAGGAAACTGAACCTGATCATCTTCTGCCGATTACTTCCAGCTTTGTTGGCCTCAGTTCAATATACTAACAAAATGGACTTCACTGCTTCTTTGTACATTTTTTTTTATTGTGGTTCAGAAGTTTAGGACTAAAGAGTGGCTCCATTTTATTCCTGGTGGACAGTGCTATTTTACATAGTACATTAAACCCTATGTATGGTCCATGTGAGAGTTTACAAAGTAATATTAGCATTATTGGTTTCACAGGAAATGGCTCAAGGAGGGGAAAGGGCTTACCAGAGGTCACACAGCTCCTCAGCAGCAGTTTCTAGGTTAAACCTAAGCATCCTATGTTCCCGAGCCCTGCTACATACTGTCACTGTGTACACACACACACACACACACAAAACAAATGGTAAGAAGAGGCTGATGTCAGAGATCCAAAAATCCCAGGCATACAAAGGCTAATACATTCACACACAAATTTACTATTGTACCTAGTGACACATAAAGGAACGTAAATACATGTCTAGAAAGGCCTCTTCTTCCCTGAAGAATCCTTTATGACCCTACACCCAACATGCCAATGCACTTCTAGAGACAGGCAAACAAACCCAACCATTCCTGTCCTCCTCCTGGCCTCATGGAGACAATGTAGGCAGGCAGGTCTCAGAGACATCTCAAAGAAACAGAGCAGGAACTTCTAGTCACCTGCTAGGACGGGAAGAGCCTCAGGCAGGAGATGCAAGCATGAAGAACCAGCCTTGGTCTTTCCTTTTCCTCTACTCTGCCCCATTGCCTGAGGCAGGTTCACAGCTCATAAGAAGGGTGTCCTGAGCCTGTGTCTCCAGGCACGTCAAAGGCATTCCCTCCCTAAAACTGGAAGGGCCCAGGAGGACAGAGGAGCCCACCCCAACTTTGTAAACTGTTCCATGCAACACCTTCAGTGCCCTCTACACCTCTTCATATGGCCCCTAGACAGGCTTCTGAAACCTAAACCTGAGCATTTCTCTCTCTCCAAAAGGCCTTTCTTAAAAAGTTGACCCCATCTCCAAAATCTTCACTTTCTCTGATTGGCCACAAGTCCTTCATGCTCCTCTGCTTTGACTACACTGTTCCCTATGGCTGGCAGGCCCTCCCCTTCTTGCTTCCCACAGCTCGGCACCACCTTTCAAATGCCTTTCAGAATCTTGCCAGGCCCATGCTTTCATTACAAATTTCTAGCATATCTCTGAACGTCCCCAGACTGGTCATGTCAATCTTCCTGTACCTCCTGAATGCTGGGACTCAGGTGTAGGCCTCCATGCCTTGTATGATCAGTGGTTGTCAATGTGTAGAAATAACACTTCTGGGCCTCACCTAGACATAATGAACCCCGGGCACTGGGCCAGCCTGTGTTTTAACGTGCCTCCTAGGTAAGTCTGCTGTTCACCGGGCTTGAGAACTACTGATAGCAACAATGCACTTTGGGTAGTTCACAGGTCTTTTCTAGTCACCTCCTCCAGGTTGTGGGCAACTTCATGATAGGGATTCTGTTTCATGTCTGTGCCAGACAGAAGCAGGTGCAGTGGGTGGTTCAGGAAATCTTGGCAAAGGGATTATAAGGCTGTAGTCACACCCACACTTGATCAGTTAATAATAGGCAATATGGTTTTTGTTTTTGTTTCATTTTTGCTTTTATAGTGCAGGGCTTTTCACATGCTGAGAATGTGCTGGGCCACACTGAGTTACACTTGCAGGCCAGGTATGGACGACTCTGATTATAAACGAGGTAACTGCCTTCTTAAGGAATATTAGGAAGTCACCTACCCACAACACTGACAACAAACCTTACAGCAATCCATCTACACAAGGCCACAGGGAAGCCACAGTACAAACCAGAGTGGGATCAACATGCCACCACACTCTTGTCATCAAGTATGTGCCAACAGTGCAAAAAGTGGGCACAGACAATGGTCCCCATAGAAATACAGACACTGAGACTCACCACTGGACAGAATTACATTAAAGCTGTGATACAGACTACAGCCAGTGGAGAGAAACATATGTGAACAGACAGGTCAAGTGGTCAGCAAAATAAAGCAAATGAATGGTCCCATGGGACACTAGGTGTGGTGACACATGTATGTAAGGTACAGGGTCAGGAATTCCAGGCCAGACTGGCTTCGTCTCAAGTTCAAGGCCAGTGTGGGCTATGTGGAACTGTCCAAAAAAAAAAAAAAAACTAAGCTGGGCATGGTGGCAGATGCCTTTAATACCAGCACGAAGGAGGCAGAGACAGGTGGATCATTGTGAGTTTGAGGCCAGCCTGGGCTACACAGAAAGACCCTGCCTCAAAACATAATAATAACAAAATGCCTTGGGCGAAATTGGAGAACAAACAATATTTGTCTAACAGCCTGATAAAGAAATCATCCCAAGACAGAAATGTTTCAAGATTTATAAACACAATGGAATGTCAAATGGGTTAACAAGCACATAGCTCACACCAACCACACTGACAAAATTTACAAAATAAATGGCAGGTGCTATGGTTATGTCACATCACAGGGCATGCAGATTTGTGGGATTTGTGGTGAGAGCCACACGTAGGAAAACAAGCTACTGGGATCACACAGGGCTAAGCCACTGGATCCCACACAGGAAGCACCCTGCACATTCCAGAACTGTGGACAAGCACCTGTGAGGCCAAAGAAGAAAGCTAAAACAAGCATGCATAAAAACATAAAGCATGGAGGAGACATCCAACATGTAACATACCAAGTCGTCACATATACTTGGCACTGGGGCATGTCACAAACTGAACACAAGGCACGGATGTGAATGAAGTGTGAGGGCCACTCTGATGGGCATTTAAACATCCTTCCCTACGCTACAGCCTGTAGGGAGCACGGCAGCGGCCAGCTGAACACAAGCAATTCAACCTGTCAAAGGTACTCGTAACCAATGGAGGGGCATCCTCCCACAAGACACTCGTGTAAGGGTCTATCCCAACGTGGGAGTAAGTGGTTCTGTGCCCAGAGGTTAACTGGTGTCTGACAGCATTCCTAGGAAGCAGTCCTGGCCTTCTCACCAACACCCATAAGTCATGTGGGGCCAAAACGCAGGGGAAGGGCTGGGAAACATGATGGGAACCCCTTCTCCAAGATTCCCTCGTTCACACCCCCGGCTCCTCTCGCCCAGCTCTGGCCTTCAGGCAAGCCCTCCACCTCGGAGCTCGTCCGCAGCCCCCTACGCTCCCATTCTTCCCGTTCAGGCCCCTCTCCCCAGCAACCCTGTCTGTCCCCAGCCGGCCCTCCCATTTCCATCTCTCCCCATCCCGGACCCTCTCAGCGCCCCCCTCCCCACATCCTCCCACCCCTTACCCGCCCACACCTCAATGGGGCGGGGGGCCTGGGGGACGGGCCCCCTCCCCAGCCAGGCTGCGGCAGCGGTGGTGGCGGCTGGCTGTATCTCTGTCTCGGTGTCGGTGCCAAGGGGGGCGACAGGATTTGGGGATGTCCTAGCCCCGGCCGATGTAGGGGTGGTGGGAGTGGGAAGCTGGGCCCATAGCGGTAGGAATGGTGGGGGGGCCGTGCCCCCAACACCCTCCTCCCAGCCGGCTCTCTGTGGGCCGGGGCTACTGCTGCCGCTATCTCCCCCACCCTCCCAGCGCCTGCTGGTTTCCGGGGCTGTCCAGGAAGTGGGGGGCGATGATGGGCAGCGGGCCTCGCCAATCGCCTCTTCAGGGACCAGCATCTCCCCCCCACCACGCCTGACCGGCCTCTCGCTGGCCCCGCCCCCTGAGAGCTCAGTGGGGCTCACGGACACAGCCGCCAGCACCGCTTGGTCCACCAGTTTCGGCACCTGTATCCCTGGTTCCCTGCTCTGTTTCCTCCGCATCGTTTTGCTTCATTCACATGCTCTCTGACCGCTGCCTTTCTTTGGACCGCAGTGCTATGCTTAGCCACTGCAACTCCAGGATTCCCACACATCCCTTTACCCGTCCCCATAAACAGATGTTTATGAAGTACCTTCTAAATCCAAGCATTTAGTTCACCCTTTTCTGCCCAGGACTCGCATCTTTCCCTGCGTAGCCCTCCAGCCCTCTGTGCACTTGCTCTTTGTTCCGGCTCCCCATCTCCTCCTCCTTTGGCCTTTAAAGATAAAGAGCCTTCTTCTCTCGTACGTGCTTGTTTGCCTAAGTCCTTTCAAAGTGAGTTCTTTCATTCAACCCTTCCCCCAACACAGAATCTAGCTGCAGGCTTTGGCGGAGTGTGCTTGCAATAGCAGCACCCTAGAGCCCGGGGCAGGAGCATCTCTTGAGTTTGAGACCAGCCTGAGCTATAATGAGACTTTGGACAATAAAACACTGCTTCCTAAGAGTAACAGAATGATGGGCTGGCTGAGCCATGTAGCCTGCTGGCCAAGCGCCTACTCCCTCTTCCTCATCTCAGGCCCGGTCCATCACTCCTACCTCCGTATTTGCAGTTTCTGTATCTAAAACCTCTTCAATACTCCAGAATCCTCGTTTCCCCGTACCCTCTATTGAGTCCGTTTCTCACCTTTCTTTATTCCTGAGTCACACGGGCACTTTTTATCAAGGTGTTGGACAGTCCTTAGCCTGTTCCTGTCTCCCGCCCCTGGACGGACACCTTTGCCCTGAATGAGTTTACTCAGCTTGGTGAAGAACCCTTGGTAGTGGGAGGACTGTTACCTAATTCTGCGCCTTGGGCCACAGTATGGGTCACTGATTGTTGGAAGGGCCCAAGCTCTCAGAGTGTCCAGCCAGGAAAAAGATCCAAAACTCTGCAGGGCAAATTACAAGGAAGGGGCGGATCTATTCCATCGTGCCGCGGGTCACCCAAGGGGAGGGCTGTGCCCCTTGGGCTCCCACTCATGGAGGGGTGGAACCAGACCTTTTCTGCTCTTAAGATTTAAGACGGAGTTGAGGTTCACTGTGGCCCGCTCTGTGTCACATTACAACGCGGGCGGGTGGGCCTCTGGCTCGGCTCTGCTGTGAGGATCACCTAGAGAGGCTGAGCCGTCTAACCGAGAGAGTTGGGTTAACACCAGCGCCGCAGGCCGAAGGCCGCACCATCCACACGTCGGGCTAACCCCAGGTCTGCTCCCTGCTTCCCGAAGAGGGAGGGGCGGACCCAAGTTCTGCCCTCTACGTCACCCAAGGAGGCCGGAGCCATCTTGAACCCCGCGACCCTGCTATCTCTGCCCTCTTTTCCCGAGCTCAGCACCGGCTCTCCAGGTCTCGACCAATCAGCGGCGAAGTAAACCGCCCAATCAAGCCGGGAGAGTCCCCGTCGAAGGACCCGGATGAGGCCGAGCGAAGGCCTTTGAACCCTAGGCCCCCGCCAATGGCGGAGGGGTTGCCATGGCGACGGGATGGAGTGGAACGGGTGGGACTGGAATCCACTTGGCGGCTCTCGTCGGGTTGGCTTACTCCACGCATTTCCCCCCCATCCGTTTATTGCGGATGCTCATTTCCTGTAGCCACGCCCCCCGTGTCATTCCAGCCAATCATTTGATTTGGAACCATATGCTCTAAAGTCCAATAGGAACCCGGACATTCTTCGAAAGCGGAAGAGAAAGAAAGACTGGCTCCCAGTGGGCGAGTTCTGTCGCCCCAAGCCAATCCTGTCAGAGCTTTGGTTGTGACTGGCAGCTACATTGACGAATCAAAATATCCCTAGCTGAGCGCATTATTACCAATCCCTTGGCACTGTATAATGACTGAAGCTTTACTAGCCAATCATCATCGTGCGAGGGTAGGACTCACACACCCTTTTCCCGCCTCCACACTTTAGCTCAACCCTGTCTTTTGACTCCTGTATGATTGGCAGGCATCTCGACCAATAGTCATGAGGAAGCCTTGAAGTCTGCCCAACGATCGTGGGCAGAAGGCGGGCCTGGTTTGTTGGGGTGTGTGTGTGAGTGTATATGTGTGTGTGTCTGGTGGTACTGAGGGGTCCGTGGGGGAGAAGCACAACCGGCCATGGCAGCGGCGGAGGAAGAGGATGGGGGCCCCGAAGGGCCAAACCGCGAGCGGGGCGGGGCGGGCGCGACCTTCGAATGTAATATATGTCTGGAGACCGCTCGCGAAGCTGTGGTCAGCGTGTGTGGCCACCTGTATTGGTGAGAATCCGAGTCAGGGGAGTGGGATGCGGCGGTGAGGCTCCTGTTTGTGATGGGGAGGCCAAGAGCGGGGACCATACAGTTACTGCAAGATCTGAGGGCATCTACCCCCGCAACACACACACACACACACACACACACACACACACACACACACACGCAGGGGAGGCTTGAGGTGGGGACTTGTGTCTTCACTGGTAGGGGTGATCACGTCTGTGCAGATGTCTGGAAAGGAGAGTCTTAGGAGCTGGTGCATGTGTGGCATGTTGTAAGGAGGAGGTGGGGTGAGGAATGGGAGACCCTGCATATTCCTGCTGGTGAGGCCTCAGCCACAGTACCCCGCTAGATCTACCCAGCTGTTGACATAAAAACAGAGGCGAGAGACTTTCAGTTTAGGGGAGGTGCCCTCGTCAGAGGAGGGCCGGATCTAGGGACTATGGGTCCACATTGAGATGAGATTGTGTGTGTGTGTGTGGGGGGGGGGGTGGGGTGTCAAACCCAAGGACGAAGGCATTGTGGAAGGGCAACGTGAAGAGGTTAATGGTCACGGAGATAGAGATTTTATTGAGCTTGAAGTGAGAGGGGAAGGAGCAGTAGAGATGTAGTGAGGGGAGTTTGGAGGAATGGGAACAAGAATGGAATTGAGGCTGAAGAGAAACCTGTTGAATTGGGAATTCAAGTTTAGAGGTAGAAAATAAGTTGAAGGAAGGGAGTGTGTAGAGAGAGAGGGAGAGGGAGGAGAGGATCAAATGTGTTCAGGATGGGAGGAACTTTAAGTATTGAAGATGAGAGACATTGGAAAGATTTAAGTTAGCAAGTGTGCTAGAGGTTGTAGAAAAAAGGAAAGAAATAGCAATATAGCAGGCGATACCTGGGAAGATTGGTGAAGTATGCTCTGTTGTCTGGGGTCTGTGGCTCTTTTCTGTTGTTTGACCTGTTTTTTTTTTGTTTGTTTGTTTGTTTGTTTTTGCTTTGCTTTTTCTTCCATCCAGTTGGCCCTGTCTTCATCAGGTATGTATTCATGAGATGAACAGGGAAACGGAGGACTGGAGAGCTCGAAGGCTCTCTTTGTATTTGAAAACACTACTCTGTATTCTCTCTCCAGTGGCTGGAGACACGGCCAGACAGGCAAGAGTGTCCTGTGTGTAAAGCTGGCATCAGCAGGGAGAAGGTTGTCCCTCTTTATGGGCGAGGGAGCCAGAAGCCCCAGGATCCCAGGTGAGAGACCGGACACAGTGCCAATGGAAGGTTAAAGCTTCCTCCCTCCCAAGAGAGGGACAGAGGTGCTGATCCCCTCTCTCCTTCTTCAGATTGAAAACTCCACCCCGCCCTCAGGGCCAGCGACCAGCTCCAGAGAGCAGAGGGGTGAGTCTCCTTGTCCAGCTGTATCCCTCTGATGCCAAAGTCTGTGCATGGATTTCCCTGATATTCCCTATTTCCCTAGGGATTCCAGCCATTCGGTGACACCGGGGGCTTTCACTTCTCATTTGGTGTTGGTGCTTTTCCATTTGGCTTTTTCACCACCGTGTTCAATGCCCACGAGCCTTTCCGAAGGGGTGCAGGTAAGAGCTTTCCCTGAGTCTCTGCCCAGGCCCTCTCCCAACCTACAAGAGCATATCTGACACTTTCTTTTCTCCTACAGGTGTGGATCTGGGACAGGGTCACCCAGTCTCCAGCTGGCAAGATTCCCTCTTCCTGTTTCTCGCCATCTTCTTCTTTTTCTGGCTGCTCAGTATTTGAGCTATGTCTCCCCCTGCCCACCTCTAGCTAGAGGAGAATCAGTATTGGGGGTCCCTGCTGGCCCCTCCTTGCTTTTGGACCATCCCCTCACTTCCATGACCTATCTTTGTTAGTTGAGGCCTCCTTCAGGAGGTTGTGGGAAGGAGTGACCAGTCTGCCTAGAATGGGAGTGCCTGCTGCTCTGTACTGCTGGCCCGGTAGCATAGTCATTCCCCACCCTGAAGGACACACTAAAGTCAAGTGCCCAGTCCTCCTTTGCTCCCCCCTCCCCACATTTCTTGATTTGATGTTTAAAGGTGGGCTCTCCCTGACTCTTCCACTTGTTGATTTAATTTAATTTTCCTCTCCTGTCTAATATGAGTTCTGACTCTAAATGTCTCCTTTCCACCCCTTGCTACCTCCTTTATTACAAATTCAATTAAAAAAAAGATGAAATATATTGTTGGGAAGTCTCCCCAGTCCTTCCCTCCTTCCAGAACAGGTACCTCTTCCATCCAGCTTGAATAGATGCTTGGTATGGGAGGAGGCATGGAGTGAGCCCCTCCCCTTGCAGGGCTCCCAGAGATGCAGGGGTGATGTTGCTTCTTTCACACACAGATGACAGTAGGCAACAAGTGTCAGGTGTTTACTCAGGTTGGGTGGGCTCTGGTAGTAGAAGTGTATTGAGGTGGAGCAGGGATTGAACATGGGAGAGCTGGTCATGGGGCCAGCACAATTCAGGGAGGATGTTGAAGGAGCTGGCGGACAAGGTCTGCCTGGGCCCTGCTAAGGTCCTCCTGCATCGTTCTCTCTTGCTTCGGCATCCTCTGACTGATTCAGCTCTGCTCGCTCCTCCTCGTCCTCCTGGTTTTCTGGGACCTTCCTGAGAAGGAACAGTATTCTAGCCTTCTGTTGGGCCATTCCAACAGCTCTCACTTGTTGCCTGGAAGCCCCTGGTTGAGTGTCTTTCACTCACCTCTCCTCTCGTCTGGGTTGCCTTTTTCTCCACAGGATGGCCCCAATGAGCAGGGTGGCTATTCCCAGGCCTCCCAGGATCCCCAGGGCCAGGGCTAGTGTCCCCAGCCCAGACCCACCTACAGAGCCTGTAGGGACACAGGGTAGATTGAGGGCACAGCTCCAGCACACACCACTCCTTCCTTGTTGACTGTACACCAGTCACATGCAGCAATCATACGCCTCCCTCTGACTTTAGTCCAGCCCCTCACCTGTAGCTGGCCCCTCCTTGCCTGTTTCTGGAAGACAAAGAATAGTCTGAGGGAATACTTGAGCTAGGGTGGAAGGCCCAGTGGCATCTCCCTTCAATAGTGGGCAGGATGGACTTTTCTCCTGACAGGATTGTGGTGGAGCAGAAGAGGCTTGGGTGTTGAGTGCCCCGAGGGGAGGGGTGGTGTGGCTCTTGGGGATCATGTCTGAGTAGAGTAGGGAGTTGGCATGTTGTGTCCCTCACGTCATCCCTAGGGTCCCTGGAATTTGGAGGAGAGTTACCTGAGGTGCTGATGCTGACAGGTGTGCTTTCCTGTGACCCATGGCTAGGATGGGTGGCCACACAGCTGTAGATACCCTCATCCTTATGCTCTACCTTAGGGAGGAGCAGTACAGGGCTGGAGGCAAGGGGCAGGGGTGTACCCTGGTAGGGAAAAAGGGACAGGAAATGGTTAAGAACCCCTGGTCCACACATTCTGGACTCTTGCCTTCATTTCCACAGTCGAACATTGTGTTTTCAGCCCAGCTCTCAGGCTGCCCACTGCCGGTCACAGTTTTCTATCTCTCAGGCCTTCCAGACCACTCACATCCTTTATCCAGTGAATCTGAGGAGGGGGCTGAGTAGAGATGACACAGGTCAGAGTCACGGTCCCACCAGGAGCAACTATTCCACCTTCTGGTTCAACCAACAGCTGAATCCTCTCTAGAGGCTCTGGGTAAGGGTAAGCATGAGATCTATTAGGATAACTGGAAGCTGGCCAATGGCCCTGGGATTGACCCCTTCCAGACTAGGCCTTTCTCACCCCTGACATGGGGCTGGATGGGGGCTGTGTTCAAGGGTCTGCGCCGGGCAAGGCCCAGGCTGAAGCTGCATGAGAAGGTGGGATGGGCAGCTCCTCCTGGAGCTGGGGTCACAGTCAGCTCTGACTCTAGTGTGAAGAGCCCTGTCTCGGGATTTCTCCTGGACTCTTCCTTCACGATTGTCCCTGTAGTGGGTAGGACAAAGTCAAACTCCCAAAAGTATGTGGGAGAACATCCAGGAAAAGGCAGCGGGTACAGGGCACATGGGCACTCACTTTTTTCATCAGGAATCAGGGGTTTCCCATCCAAGTGCCAGCTAAGGGTCCCTGCAGGGTAGCTTCCCTTTGATACACAGGTACCCACCTGGAAGGGAAAAATGAAGGCCTTACTCTCTGACTCTGCGGGAGACCATGTAGGCAGGTGCACAGTTAAAGTACCCTTCCTATTTTCTGTTTTTCTGTACCTTATTAGGGACACCAACTGTGAGTTCCGAGGCAGCATCCACAATTTCTGGCTTCCCAGGAATTTCTGCAGGGAAATTTCAATCAGAAGCTGCCCTTTGAAGGTTCTCACACATACTCCAGGCATGGGAACCAGGGCAATGGAGAGCAGAGGTTCACATACACCAGGGCCAAGAGTCAAGGGCTGGGGTAAAGGAAGGCTTTATCTTAAACAAAAAGTGACTTAGCCAAAGCCAAGGAACCCTTACGGTAGACCCGGACACGGTAGTTGGACTTGATCTCCTTTCCGTGCCTGTTCATTGCCCGACACCGGAAAGTCCCCTCATCGACAATTCCAATGGCTGGAAGGAGTAGGGAACCATTGGGGAGGATTCGAGCCACACTGTCTCCTCCCTGGGGAGACAGGATCTTCCAAGCTTCTGTCCGGCCTGTGTTCTGTAAAGGAGAAAAGCCTAAGTGGTCTGGGCACTTAGGGAAAGGGCTGACCAGACAGGGAGGGGTGCTGGGGACCCTCAAGGTTTGCTTCCAAGGTTGAGTGGCCAAGCGGATAAGTCCTGCTTACCAGTTTCCATTCTAGCTGCTGGGGTGGTTTCTTAGGGGCCCCCTTACAGCTCAGCACAAGAGGCTCTCCAATCCGGGCTGTGATGTTCTGACCACCAACTAAGGCTCCTGGGTGGTAGCATCCATCGTGGTAGAGGGGCAGAAGGGGAGAGGTGGAGCTAATGAGTGTAGGGCAGGGTGGGTGAGGGGCTTTGAAAAGTGGTGCCCAAATTCTAGGAAATGTATAGAGAGAAGGGAGGTCCTGGGGAGAGGGGACCTGGACTGTGAAGGGTAGAGTCATTGGGACTGGGAACAGCTCACCCCATAGAACAAGGACCAGTGCCCAGGCTCCAGCTGCTGTCTCTGTTGGCATCATGCTTTCTTCCCAGGCTCCTGGCTCTGTCTGCCCCTTTGCCTGCTATGGCCACCGCCCCAGGTAGAGGTTGTACCCTCTACCCTCCCCCCATCTCCCATCTTGTCCTGTCTCGGAGAATGCCAGGAATTCATGCCTGTGGGACAAGAGTCCTTCAGGTACTAGAAGCAGCAATCTCACCCCACCCCAGGGCACTGCCAGCCTCTGGGCACGCCTCTCCTGGAATAGGGTTGTATACCACTAAGGGCCTCATTTCCTCCAGCCCGCCATATTCCATGGGTCTCATACAGGGGGCTCACTCCATCTTGACTGAGGCAGACTGCTAGGCAACATGGTTCAGCTGTGTTTTTGTAGGAATTTTTTTTTTTTTTTTTTTGGGAGGGAAGCATTCTAGTTTTTTTTTTTTTTTTTTTCTTGAAAAAAATTCTCAACTAAACCCAGGAAAAAAAGAAATCTCTTTATTTAAAACTGCAGTTTTTTTTGTTGTTGTTTTTGTTTTCCTCTGTGAATCTACAAGTTTACAAGTGAGGAGAGAACTGCCCCTGGCCCCTGCCTCCCACCACCCGGGTCTTTGATGGGAGAGGTTCCCCACTGTGACAGATCCTGAGGATGTTCTAGGGGGTCAGACAGAGGGTTCAGGACTGAGATGAGATGGTGTTTATACCTTCCCTCATACCTGGCATTCTATGGCCTCCCTCTTCTCCCCACCCCGCTGATTTTGGCATGAGATTAAAAAATGAACAGAAATACTTATTTCTGGGAAGCTGGGGGAGATACACGTGTTAGCACCCAGCCCATGTTTAGCATATTTGGCAAGAACACCCTCCCCATTCATTCATTCTCCACTCTGCAAATAGTTTAAAAAGAAGAAATTTAAAAAGCATTTTGACTTTTTCAAAATTATTGAGTTTAGTCCAGCCTTGCCCAAAGGTTATTAGGAGGGGAGACAAGGGGCTAGAGGGGAGTTATGCCCCCATCAATACAGCAGAGGTTTGCTTGCACAAGCTGAGAACACCTAAGTGACCAGGGTGAGGACTGCAAAATCCACTTCCCTGTCGGTAGGCCTGGAGCAAGTAGCCACCACCATTTTTCATTCCTATGAGGCCCCTTTGGCTCTTCTCACATGGGTAAACAAAAATAAATCAGTTTATTAAAAAAAAAAAAAAAAAACCACACACATACCAAAATCCCTACTTCTTCAAACTATTAAAAATTAAGGATCACCACTACCAATAAAAACAATTAAAAAAAAATACAGACAGATCCCAGGGTTTTTTGTTTTTTTTTGTTTTTTTTTAAACAAAAACAAAACCAAAAAAATCTCCAAAGCCCAGTCAACAATTTTCTAAAGTAGCAGAAACTCCCTCCGAGGTAGATAACTGAGTCAGACACTCTGTCCACCGAGCGATTCTATTGGTTTAAGATGAGCTGCGTATGAGGTAATAAAGCCGTCTGGAGGGGCAGAAGGTGGGGATGCATGGGGCGGGGTGTTGGCCCAGGGCCTTTGTCCAGGAGTCCCCATTTTTGGCATCTCTGGGTCGGGCAGGGCTGACATCTCCAGATTCCAGAGTATTTAAGTGGGGTGGGGACAGAAAGTAGGGAGCCCATACACAAACAGAATAGTTATATGTTGGTGTAGATTTGAGAGAGAGAGCAAGAGAGACAGAGAAACAGATACCTGTTTTCTGTGTGAGAGGGAAAAGACAGAAAGAAGGAAAAAAAAAGGAGACACCCCACTTTCCCTGCCATGTAGTCAGCACCCCAGCACTGAGTGTCTAGTTGGGGAGGGCATAACCCCATTCGCCCTTTTCTGTTTTGTGCTTCGGTCGGGGTTTGTCCTTTAGATGCCCAAGTCCTCTTCAAGAGTTGCCTGGTGGGAGCCCCCAGCCCTGTGACCTTGAGGGGCAAGGTCAGTTGGAGGTGTCAGAGTGAACACTTCCTGGTCCCTCTGTTGGGGATGTCACTGAGGATGGGGTCACAGCCTCCTGCCAGCCGCCATTGGCCTGGAAAAAAAAGAATGAAAGTCAGAAAATGGGAACCCTGTGTGGGATCACATTCCCGTCCTGGTGAGAGCTGAAAGCTGGAGGCAGCAGGTCCCCGTGACCCACTCACCCGCATTTCCCGTGGACTGTATATCTGGCCTCCCCCGAGGTTGTCCCCGTAGCTCCCGGGCCCCATTGAGTGTCGGAGTGACTCCACCTGCAGGGCACAAAGAAAGGAAGGTATGACACATAGATGCCTTAGGCAGGCCTTGTATGCTTGAGGGTGAGCCCAGTGACATAGCTCTGCAGGTAAAGGATGCTTGTCACGAAAGCCTGGTGATCTGGTTCTGGTCCCCATAACCGACCTAAGGACAGGAGATAACTGACTCCAAAAAGTTGCCCTGGCCTCAGCACGTGCAGTGGCTCATGTTTCTGCCGCCCCTTCCTGCTCACAGCCAGCTAGAAAAGGAGAGGTGGGTTTCTAACCTGGGAGGCAGAGTAGGAATCTCCATTGAGTCCGGGCATCCCCAGAAACATATCTCCGGATCCTGAGAGATTGAAAGAGCCGCCAGAGCCTTGAGAGAGCAGAGAGAGAATTAGGGAAAAGCACAGGGTAGACAGGAGATGAACACAACTCTTAGCTTCCAGAAGACTAACTCTCTGGGCATGCACATGGAGGACTGCATACATCCATAGTCCCATCCTCAGAACAGGCTACTTGTGAAGCTCCCCTGACCACCCACTAAGGGCTGTTTCCCTTGACATCATCACCCCTGGTCTCTTTCACCCCCAAAAGTCCTCTTTGCTATCTGTATGCAAAGCAACCAGGGAGAATGGCAGTGAGCTCCACCTGCAGAGGAAGGGGGCGTTGGAGAGCTGGTGCGGCTGTGCCCCCCCTGGGCGACTGACACAGCTGTCTTCACAGCATAGATATTTGCCTCCTCTTGGAACTTCCCAATATTTTTCTTGTAGCGAATTCGCTTGTTACCAAACCAGTTGGAAACCTGCAGTGTTGGGCAGAGAGAGTCAGACAGAACCCCTTCTCCAGGACACCCTTCTCAAGCAACATCTGAGAACTCTTTGCCCCTTACCTGCTGACCCCCTCCTCCCCCAGAGTACCTGAGAGACGGTGATGCCGCACTTCTTGGCGAGCTCCTCTTTGGCCTCCTCACTAGGATAAGGGTTACTCAGGTGGGAGTAGAAATATTCATTCAAGACTTCAGTGGCCTGTTTGCTGAAGTTCCGGCGTTTCCGTCTAAAAGAAAGAGAAGTATTGAGCCTGCCAGGAAATTCCAGGAAGCATCATTGTCATGGTGCCCTGTTGGACAACATAGAAGCCCGGTAGTCCTGGAGAGGTACGGGAGGGAGCCAGGTACTGGGGGCCAGGCTCAGGGGTCCCTGAGCCCCACCTGGCATCCAGGAAGCGAGAGCGCAGGATCATGACCGCCTCGCAGGTGCTCTGCTTCAGCTGCATCTGGATGGCGCTGAACTTGCGATGGATGATGCTCACCATGCGCTCCATCTCCTTGGGGGCCACAGGACGAGTGCGGCTCTGCTCCCTCAGCAGGTTCATGACGTGGGTCGTGAACTCATTGCATGCCTGTTGGGGCAGGTGGGCTGGTGAGGGGCCTGTGGCTTGGGGAGACCTCTAGAGTCTAAGTCTCTAGCTCAGTGGGCCTCCTCTCCTCACCTGCTCATACTTCTCCAGCTCTGAGTGGTAGATGTGGCGGATTTGGGCAAGCTTGCTTCGATAGTCTGAGTGTTCGATGGAGTTGTCAGGGGACACGCCACCTCCGGAGGCTGCGGCGGCTGCAGCTGCTGCTGCGGAGCCCCCCCCTTTCTCTGGTCCAGCCACACCTTCTGCCAGGAGCATGTTGTCCAAGCGCATCAGCTGTGGGTCCACCGGCTCCTCCTCTTGTGAGCTGCGGATGCTCAGGCCTAGTGGGCAGGCAAGTGGACGTAAGGCCCCAGGAACCCCTCACCCAGTGTTCCAACCTTCTAGTATCTCTTCAAGGCCCAGGTCTCCAGACTTTGCTTCCTTCCCCACTCCCTTTTGAGCAGCCTCCCAGGGTCTCATTTTCCTCATGGCTTCAAATTCTGAGCCCATAGAGTGAGGAGAGTCCACTGAGGTGAGAACCAGAGGGTCACCCACGTACCGGTTTTCTCCTTGATTTCACACAGGACACTGAACAGAGCAGGCTTCATTCGGTGACAGTTTAGGGCATGTTTCCTTAGAAGGAATGGGAGAAGAGTTCAGGGGTCAGGAAAGAGGACAGGGGTACCATGGAACAAGGTGGGGGCAGAAATCTGCAGAGGTAGGAAGTCAGAATGGGGGTGGGTGGAGTTGCAGAGGTAGTTCTTGAAGGAGAGAGCAGCTGCCATAGCTTCTGGGAGCTGCTGGGCCAGAGGAGGCAGAAGATGCAGGCAATGGGACTAAAGTCATTATGGGCAGGCTGAGGCTAAAGGAGATGGTTCAAGCAAAAAGGTGGAGAGAGGATCCAGACTTGACTGAAGAAATAAAGGTGACTGGGTAGATTCTGGAGGAAGGGAAATTAGAGGCCCAGATGGAATAGTCAGTGCCGGGTTGCAGGGGGCCCTGTACAGTGTGTGGGTTGAGCAGAGGGAAAGGCTGTGAAGACTTTTGGAGGCCCCAACCACGATGGAAGGGAGAGTGTGGATATCCTGAATCTGTAGAGAATAGGGTGGGCTAGCTGGATAGTTAGGGAAGATAGGTCGGCTGACAGTTTCTAAGTCTGGGAGACAGGAGATGGGCCGGTGTAGAGTGTAGGGGTCAGCAAAAGGTTAGGAGTGAGACCACCTAGGGTTCCCTCTGTGAGGTTTTAGGCCTACAGGCAAAGCGAGCTTTGAGAGACCGCTAGAACTAAGGAAAAGAAAAGAGTTGCAGGATTCAGAGAGGGCCCTTAGGGGAGGGGGGGGGGGCTTGCAGAGGACTCGGAGCTGTGAGCAGGGTCCCGGGATGGGGGCACTCACTTGGCCTGGGCCTCGTCCAGGCTCTGGTCGGTGATGGTCATTATCTGTTGCAGAATGTCCCCGATGTCTTGCTTCCCTCGGCCTCCCGGGACCCCCCCACTTCCCCCACCAGGGTCTCCGGCACCGGGAGGCTCGCCAGGGGCCCCGGGCTCCCCACCCACCAGCCCCAGGCCCCCCCGGCCCCCGCCAGGAGGGGGCGGCCCCAGCAGCCGCTCGTCCATGGCTGGGGGGGGCCCTGAGGCCCCCTCCCTGCTCGCCCCTCCCCCCGCCGGTGACTCCCCCCCCAAACTCGCCGGGGCCGCTGCTCCCTCCGCCCCAACCCCGCCCGGCAGCCCGCCTCCCGGCTCCCTCCGGGGGTTCACCCCGGCACCGGAGGGGAGACCTGGGGTGCCGCCTGGGCACCCCCACAGGAGACCCCGGCCCCCGGCGGCGGAGAAAATGGAGCCGGAGAGAGAGAGAGAGAGGAGGCCCAAGCGGGGGTGTGTGTGCGAGAGGAGGGAGGAGGGAGAAGGGGGAGCGAGGGAGGCGGCTGGGGGAGGGGAGCGGGAGGAAGAGGAGGGGAGGAGAGGAGGAACGGGGAGGAGCCGGGGGCGGGGAGACGCAGGCCGGGCGGCGGCGGGTGGAGGCGGGGAGCGGCCCGGCGGCCCGGGAGAAACTAGGCTGGCCCGGGGCGGGCCGAGCCGGCGCTGGGGTGGGGGTTGTGGGCCACCTGGGTTCCGAGCCCACCGTCGGGGTGGTGCGGACTCGGGCTGCTGGAATGTTCTCCGACAGCTTGGTTCATATTTCTTGTTCTAATGACTCCCCTCCCTGTTCGACTTAATTAAGACCGGGAGACTGGGGGCTGGGGGAGATGATTAGGGAGGTCTCCAGCCGCTGCTTAATGAGCCAGTAATTAACCAGACAGGGAGGGGAGTTGGCCTCTGGCCAGATCGTGGAGAGCCGCTGCCCCAGGCCTCACCTACCCACCTAGCACACCGCCACCCACCCCCAGATACCAGTCTTCAGTCCAGAGGGGAATTAAGTTTATTAACACAACCAAAACATCAGATAGATTCAGCAGCAGGGTGTGTGGGTGGGGCTAAAGTTCGCTTCACAGCCTCTGGGCCCCTCGGCCTTGGAGCTTGGGGGTGCTAGGGCTTAATCTTTTCCTTTTATCTTACTAGGCAGGAAGGGGCAGGGTCTCAGTCCTCACACTCTGTTTAGTAGCTTGACAGCTTAGGATAGACTCTGAAACTGCCCACCCCACCTTGCTCATTTTCAAGGTTAGAGTACTTGCCCCAAGTCCAGTTCCCTGGGAAAATGGGTCTTCAGTCTCTGGCACCCCTGCCACACAGTGTTGAAGGCTTGCGGTGTGTGGGGGGGGTGGGGTGGCCCAGCTTTGAGTCCCAAAGAGAAAGGGCTGGTTGGGAGCTCAGGTCTCAGCAGGTGTGTGTAGGGGGCCGGGATCTTTGCTCCTCCATTCGCCCTCCACCCTGAACTCTCAGCAGCAACTCCAGGAGCTCCTGTCCCCCGGGGGGCAGGGGCGGCTCTGACCGCTGGGCTTCCATCCGCTGGCACTAGAGATGCCGAGGGAGAGGAGAGCGTTGATGGCCGGGTGGTGGCTTTGGGTAAGAGGGCCAGGGATGGTGTAGGGCAGTAGAAAATCTATGATGGTGTTGAGGGCAGTAGAGGCTGGTCAAGAGAGGTATGTTTTAGAAAGAAAGAAGTTGGGGCTGAAAGAAGCCTGGCCTTGGTGATCCACACCTTTAATCCCAGCACTCAGGAGACAGAGGCAAGTGGATCTCTGTGTATTCGAAGCCAGTCTGGTCTACAAAGCAAGTACCAGGACAGCCTCCAAAGCTACACAGAAAAACCCTGTCTCGAAAACAAACAAACAAAAAAGAAAGAAAGAAAGGGCTGAAACAATGCCAGCAGTGGTGGTGGGTACATGTCTGCCTTACCTGGTGACTAAGTATGGTGCTGTAGAGCTGTTCTTTGTCCTCAAGAAGCCGGGGTGGGGTTGGGGCTAGGTTCGTGGGGACCTTGGGGGTGTGGAAGGTGGCCCTCTGTTCCTCTAGGCGGCGGGACTGGGCCTCAGCCACCAGGTCCAGAAGAAGCTCTGTCTGCAGGGAGAGCAGGGAGCCCGAACGGGGCCCCAGGGCTATGGAAGAGGAGGGAGGGGGCTAAGACCCAAAGGCGATAGCAGAATGGAGTAGCAAGGGGTGGGGGCAGGTGAACGGGCAGACTCTGGTTAGGGGCCATCCGGTAAGCAGGCAGGAGGTTAGCGGGCCTACACTGGGGTAGCCTGGGTGATAGGTCAGGATCTCCCAGGGTTGGTGGAGTACCTGTGTGGCGGGTTCCAGGAGGAGGGGAGGGAGGAGCAGATCGCCAAGGCCGAGTAGTGGAATTCACAGGGGGCCAGCCCTGATCATTTTTCTGGGTACCCTGATGTCAAGACAGGTCCATTCGAGTCAGATGGGTGGCGAGGGCAGAGGTTTAGGCTAGTAACCCATTTCCCCTGTGTTTCTGTTTCTGCCTTGGTGTGCCCAAGCTTTCCAAGTCTCCTATATCCATCCTGTGTCTCTGGATCCTCACATGCCCCTCCTCCCTGTGCTGGCCTCCCCACCCGGGCACCCAGCTCACCTGCCGCTCATCATCATCTTCTTCCTGGGGTCTTTCAGCGTCCATCCTTGGATTTGGGGAGAGACACTGTGGGGGAGGAGTGATGAATTTGGAAGGAGGACGGGGACCCTGGATTCCTGAGGGGAATGGGGGCTGGAAGGGGTGGGGGTGAGCTGGGGGCTGGATGCCTGGGTACTGAGCAGGAAGCTGGGTTCCTGGTCAGGCCCCCCCCATGAGCCCCGCCCATCTCTGTCAACTTCCTCCATTCTCTTTTCCCACCCAAACAGCTTGTTTGACTTCTCTTGCCCCTGGGGAGGACAGACACTGGGAAAAGTCCAGCTGCAGGAGTGGCGCAGGCTCATGACAGGGGCAGGCTCCGGCCTTCTCATTTCTAGAGCCTCAGTGACCCCTTGGCCTGCCGCACTGTTCCTTCCATCCCCACCTCCCCTTCAGATCCTCTCTGTCAACACCGGAACTAGCTATAACACAGGAAGTGGTTTCACTCTTTGGGATCCCCCTCCCCCAAACTAGGTCCCTTCCCTCCCTAAGACCTGATCCTGAGTAGGATCTGGCCCTTTTCACCTTTCCTCTTGACTTACTGGGCCAGGGAAAGGCAGGGTTCTAGAGGGAAGCAGAAGGCATGGATCCAGATGCATTGGTCTCAGATACCTGCTGATGTACTAACACTGGGCTGACACACAGGAAGCCATCAGGGATGGGGAGCTGAGTACTTGTCACTACCCTCAAGCATTACAAGCAGAGGAGGGGACTAGTGTGAACCAAGTGTGAGAAAAATGTCCCTGGAAACTAAGCTAGTGTAGACAAAGGCCAGAGGAAGACTTGCCTGGGGTCAAGAGTGTGGAACACAGAACTTAGTTTGCCTTTTGGCCAGCTCTGGTTAGCCCCGGGGAGGAGCAGGACAGACATCTGGAGTCTTCAGCCTGCCTGCCGTGTGACGTTATGAAGTTAGAGCTGAGTGGCTTGGAGCATGAAAGGGAGTGAAGAGAGCCCTGCAATCTTAGGTGAATGACACCTCTGTGCCCCCATTTGTGACAGGGTAAAGCGGCCCTTACCTCATAGGATTGAAGAGAGCTAACTGTAGTGAGGCACTTGGCACCTGGTGGGTACTCTATAAATGGTGGCTGACAGCCTTCTAGAATGCCCCCTATCTGTACGTCACATCACAGACTTAACAGGGTTGGTGTAAAGCCATGAAGATGAAATTCAAGTCCAAGACCTTAGAACTCTCTTAAATGCCCAAGGATGAGGGGCACAGTATATATCACCTTGTATATTTGTGTTGACTATTAGAGATTTTCCATTGCAGATGATACTCCAAATGAACTGGGACCCCCAGATTGTCTGTTTGCCCTTAAATTGTATCCAAAAGTCCCCTACCCTAACTTTATGGATGAACCTAGGGTATTAAATTTCCCAAACACTATGCACTGTCCAGTTCCTTAGACAAATAAAGTAACACTCTAAATCAGCTTTATTGTTCATGAATTTGGGGTTCTTAGAGATAGCAGTAGCTAGAGAGGAAGACCTCATCCCTGCATCATTTTCTTAGGGATGGGGGTAGCGGGAGGGCAAGGAGTCATCAGCTAGAGGGGCCACTGGTTTCATCATCTTTCATCATCTACCCAACACCCGGCACACAGTAGGTGCTCAATAAATATTTGCCAGTTACTCGTGGGCAGTGGGTAGCAGAGGCTTCGTTTGGGAAACCATGCACAAGAAACATTTTTACACCCAATTTACCCACAGTTCTTGGTCCCAGTTGAGAGATTCTCAAAGTCCACTTTGTCCTCTTGAAGCTGCCCTATTTTCCAGGAAAAGCCCGGCATGTGTCTTTCGGGCATTCTAAACCCTCTTCGAAGTACTGTGCACACTCAAGGGGGAACACAAGCAAGCATAACGCTTAAGTCTGGAATCTTCCAGACTGCCCGTCACTTCCTTCCCTCCATGCAGCTGCCTACTTTTGGTTCTCTCCACCCGAGTTTAAGGGCACCTCTTGGTGGACCGGAAGACCCCAGGCAACTTGAGGGGATCCGTGTTCTGGAGACGGGGTCAAACTGGGAGGCAGGATCGGCGCACTGCGGGCAGAGCCGCAGGCTTCCAGGGCTACCCAGTCGCGAGGCCAGTCATCCTGGGATGCCCCGGCCGCGCGTCGCCCACAGGAGCCTGCGGGAAACCTGCGGCCATGCAAGGCAGGGCCTGAGGAGCCTGAGTACAGGCTCCGGCAGCGCGCATAGGCCGCGCCCCCGCGCGTCCCCAAGTCCACAGACCAAGCGCGAGCTTGCAGGCAGGCTCCGCCCCCGCGCGGGCGCGCTCCCGCCGACAGCGTCCGGCAGCGCGGCGCGGCCCCGCCCCCCGACGCGGCGCGTGCGTGCATACGGGCCTCCGGCACCGGCGGCCCCGCCCCGTCCAGCAGCGTCCGCAGATCCCAGTGGCTTCGCTGGCGGGCCACGTCTCCCGGGGCTAGTCCGGCCTGGTCCCGCAGCCCTCGGGCCGCCCCGAACTCCAGCAGCAGCTGCGCTACCTCCATGGCTCCTTCGCGTGCCGCCAGGAACAGCGGCGTCTGCTCCTGCGGGGCGGGAACCGGAAAGCCCGGGGCGGTCAGAGTCCCCGCCCACCGGGTGTCGGCCCCCTCCCGCCAGACGCCCCCTTTGAGCTCCCTGGATTCCCATGCTTGTGGCTTGTTCAGTGGGGAGTCTGTGGCAGCGGCTCACCCTGCTGTCTTGGGCATCTTTATCAGCTCCAGCTTGGAGGAGGGAACGGGTGGCTCGGGCGTTGTTCACAGCAGCGGCCCAGTGCAGTGCGGTTTTCCCTAGGGTACCACGTGGGAGCCGGTTACCCCGTAGCTGGGGAACAGACTGCTGCGTTCCAGTTTCCCACGGGTTCTGGCCTTGGTGATGGGGTGGGGGAAGGAAGGGAGAGCTACTTGGGTTCCTCGCAGACGGGAAGCGTTGCCCCGGCAACCGACAGCCTGCAGCAAGCGTTGCCCTGGTGACGTCATCGGCCCGCGAGAGGGACAATGGGGTATTGTTCTGGATGGTTGGACCCGGTATCCCCATCCCGTTTCAAGGACTGAAGCTAGGCATTGTAGTTGACGGTGAAGGGGAAACTCGCTCTCCATACCTCAGTGTAGGAGGGATATCCTCTGGTCCCTGCTCTGCCAGTTATGCGAACCTCACCTCATTCCCGCTCTGCCCACATTTCGATAGCACACCGGCTCCAACCATACCCCTTTTATCTCTGGCTCCCACATCCGCTCGGGCTGCGATCAACTCTTCAACCAGGTCCTCCACTGCCAGCCTGGCAGCCAGCATCAGAGGTGTAGTCCCGTCCTCTGTGCGTGCATTCACATTAGTCCGTCTGCTGGACAATAGGAGCTGGGGAGACAGAAAGGGCCTGTGACCCCCCCCCCCCCCCGTAACCCCGGACTTCTAGGTCAGGTCAGGTCCCTCATGCTTTTGTTGTCTGTTTTGGTTTTGGCTCACTATGCAGCCCAGGCTAGCCTGGGACTCAGATCTGCCTGCCTCTGCCTCCCCAAGTGCTGGGATTAAATGCTAGGCTCTGCAACCCCCTCACCAGTCACTGCCTGCCACCTCTTTTAGGTCTTCTGTCTCAGTTTCCTCTTTTGTCAAACCCTAGAGAAAACCTCTCCATTTTACTTGCAAGTTTACTTCTACTTCCTGCAGGGACCCCAGTTGAGTGCTGACCTGGCAGACTTCCCGAGCATCGGCAGCCACTGCAGTGTGAAGTGGAGTGCGCCCTGCCTGGTCAGGCTGGTTGGGGTTGGCTCCAGCCTCAAGGAGGCGGCGGGCAGCAGTTGGCCGAGAGAATCGGGCAGCCAGGTGCAGGGGTGTCTCTCCAATGCCCACAGTGTGAGCCTGGGGGCAGGCTCTTCTATCCAGCAGTGGCTCACAGGGTTCAGGATTTCCCAGCCATGGTCCCTGGACAATCGTGGACTCCATTCGCCCACAGAGGACTGCGGACATCAGGGGTGTCACCCCTGTGGATGAGAATGAGGACAAGGCCAACCGAAAGAACACAAGAAGAAATTAACGACTGCTGGGAGAATTGCAGCCAGAAGACCAAGCCAATCTTGAACACAGATCTGATTGCTGCTGCCTCCCGAGTGCTGGGATTAAAGGCACCACTATGCCTTGCTTTACTGTTTTCATTTGGGGCAGGAGCAGGAAGGATTTAATTCTCAAAGGCTCTCAGTCTTGAACTTGAGTCACACCTATCTAGAGGGCTGGTTAGATTACTCCGTACCCCAGCTTGCTAAGAGTTTGAGTTTGTATTCCTGGGTCCCCAATCTGAGTGGCACTGTTCTAAAGGTTTCAGTTTGGATACTAATGGGCTTTGCTTTTAAAAGGATCAAAGATAGGATTTTTTTTTTTTTTTTTTTTTGATCTAGGTTGGTTATGTACCAGGTCCACAAGTATTCACATCCAGAGCCTCCATTTCACACTCTTGAGGAGGCGTCAGCATGGCAGCTGCCTGTGGGAGCTCTCCACAGCTGCTGTTCATTGGCCAGAGTTGGCACTTGGAGGCTGAGGCTGTTTCTTCTGCCTTGGGACAAAAGGAAGCAATAGGGAAGGCCACTGAGTTGTCTTTTCACCACTACTGGTACCTCTTTACCATTCCCACCCCAACCTTTTCACCTGGCCCACCTCCTCTCCCTCCTCAGGGCCCGAGCACATGGCCACTCCATCCTCATCCACTTCTCCCTCCGGCTTCAGCGCCCTGAATGGGGTGAGTAGGTAGGGGTTCTTTGGCAAGGGCCAATCAGCATCTCCAACATTCCCAGAAGCCCCCCCCCCCCCCCCCCCGCAGTAGTGTTCCATAGCACACTTGACACTCCCCTCCCTGAATCCTAGGCCCTCCTCAGTCTCACTTGAGACCTATGCTGTCCTCGCCTAGTGGGGGCCTCCGCCGATGGGGTGCCTGCTGTGTCTGAGGCTTTCGAATGAAACCCGGGGGCAGCCACAGGGCTCCATGTTCTCGCCGCCGCCGCCGTCGCCGCATGAGCTGGAGGACAAGAAGAGCTCCAAGGGCCAGGAGAAGAACCCCAGCCACTGGCGAACACAGAACAGGCCAAGGAGGCTGGTTGACAGGGGGCCCTGGCAGGAGAGAGATGGTCACAAAGGGGTAGCATTCCTGATGAGACTGGGCCAGTGGAGTGGCCTGCCTCAGTTTCCTTTCCTGTCTCATATGGTTAAATGTGTTCATGGTAAAATGTTTAGAGGAGAGTCCATGTTGTGTGATCATTACTGTTCTTTTATAAGCTGGAACCCAGTTGGCAATAGGACTATGCCAGAGATTAGTACAAAGTTCTTAGGGAAATAAGAAGGAAGACCACCGAAGGGTTGGGCCAGGAGGAGATTCATCTCAAAGAGGTGTTAGGGAGGTCAACATTTTGGCTTTCAGTTTGATCTCTACCAGAGATCATGAACAAAGGGAAATAGTGGGGATCACCTACTGGTTCCTGCTTGGGGGTGAGCAGCCAGCAATGGTCCAGGCAGCAGGGGTTCCAGGGCTCCCACAGCGGCCATTGCCGCAAGGAAGCGTAGCAGGAGCCCAGAGTCCCAGGGACAGCGGGATGCAGGGTGTTCAGGACCACAACGGGACAAATCCACCCCCATCACCACCACGAACCTGGAGAAAAGGCAGTTCAGGAACACCTGTTTAGCCCCTGCTCCCCTTCAGCTCCCTTTAAATAACATTTGGCTCTCCACTCCATCTTTGGCTTACCCAGCACCAAGGGAGTCTGGCTCCTTGCCTATGGGCTGGTTGTCAGGGGCTTGCCTTTCCGATGAAGAGGAATCCCGAGATCCGCTCAGCTCCTCTTTGGCCCGGGTCCCCGGGTAGGGAAACACCATGTTCCTTCCATCACTGTCCTTCCTCACCCAGAGCCCGACCCTCAGAGTCAGGGACAGTACTCGAGCCAGAGCCAGCAGCTGCTGATCCAGAGCTGGGGGACTCAGCACCACCAGCAGGGCCAGGGAGGGCCCCCACTCTGAGTTCCCATCCTCTGACCTGCAGTCGCCCCCATCCCAGCCACACTCAGCGCTGTCGCATCCTTTTTCACAGTGGCCGTTGTGAAAGTGATCTTGACAGTACTGGTCATAGGCTGGGCTGTGGGTAGAGGAGAGGTGGGCTCAGAGCTCTTCACAGAAAATTACTGTCTCTCCATTGCTTCTGACACTTGTGGATAAGGATGGTGGCCAAACACCCTGAAATCTACTGATAGTGGCTCCTGAGGCCAACATTTCATCCTGCCCCTCTCCCAGAAAGAGGGTGCTAGGCCCTTTATCTTGGGAGTGCTGGTTTCCAGGAGGGAGGTTTTCAATGGCAGGAGGTCTGGGGGAGGGATGCAGAGGCCTAAGGCCTTAGAGCTCTCAGGAGTCCAGACAAAGGCTGTGCCCCACAGTGTCAGTCACTCAATTCCTCTGGTTGGAACCCAGAGTTTTTCTTAGCACAGAAAGTCCCTGGAGTCCAGTGCTGGTCATCCTGTAACTTGGACATGTACGTCTCCTCACCTCCACCCCTATCCCACCCCTCATTCCCAGGCTCAGGCTCACGTGCAAATTGGAGGGATTTCACAGTCATAGCCATCAAACAGACACTCCTCAGAGTCGCACTGTGGGTGGCACCGTCCATCCCGGAAAAGAAGCCAGCACTGGGAATGGGGGGGACAGCCCTTCCAGGGGTCTGGGACCCCCAGAGAGCAGTCCCCTCCATCCCAGTCTCCTCCTGGGCCACTGCAGCCAGCATCACAAGCCCCATCGCCCCCTCGGCCCTCACACCCATTTGCGCCTGGCCTTTGACACCGGGGCCCTGGAGAGTCAGGAGGGCAGGAGCATTGAAAGCCAGGGTTACCCAACCTGAGCATCTCAGAGCAGCTACCATTGTGCAGGCAGGGTGAGGGGGGCCCACAACCCAGTGGAGCTGGGGGTGTCAGACAGTCAGGGCCCCCGAAGCCACCGAGGCAGGCACAGAGGGGTGGGGAGCCTGGCTTAGGGGAGGGCAGACATAGGCCTCCATGGTGGCAATGATGGATGCCACAGGAAGGGGCTTTGTGGCTGCAGGTGGGGCCTTCGAAACCCTGTGGCAGATAAGAGAGGACACAAGAGGACCTGTGTCAGTCTTCCCTGAAGCAAACTCCTGGGATAACCCTACACAGAGGGCTCTAGACTGTCATATACAAGAGAGACCTCAGAGAATATCAAGTCAATGGTAATGGATGTTGCAGCTTTGACCCCTGGTAACTCCACACGCTGGCAAATTACAGTTGGTGGGAGTGGGTGAAGTGGGGCTATGCAGCCAAGGCTGTGAGACTAGTCAGCTAGTGCAGTTGACCACTGACTGTGTCCTTGGAGACAGTCCAAGCTCTCCTCTTCCTTCCCAGGGTAAACAGGAGGAAGGCGTAAGCAGAGGAAAGTGTTTGCTTTCTTGGTTGCTGGGTTTGGCTTGTAAGTGTTATGTTAGGATAATGAAGGAAGGCATGACCTGTTGTCACAACCCAGGCTTCAGCTAGTTCCTGCCATGAGCCCCTCACTGACATCCACATAGAGTTTAAAGAATGTATCTAAAGCCATTCTAGGAAGGATTGGTTTTGTTGTTTCTTTTCTTTCCTTTTCTTTTGTGACACTCTCATGTAGCCCAGACTGACCTCAATGTCATTGTGTAGCCAAGGGTGACCAAGGAACTCATGCTCCTTCTGCCTCACCTCCCAAGTGCAGGGACTATAGAACTGCATAGCTGTGCTGCTGTCTGATTCTGCCTTTCCCCTGCTTCTGAGAATGACGGTGAGCTTGGGCTCTCTCCAGTTCTGTCTCCAAAGTCCCCCCCACTCACTGCCCCAGGGTTCTGGCTCTGGTCTTTGTATCTTCCATCAGGGCAGGGAGAAGAAAGAGAAATAGGTGTTGCAGCACTTGCCTTGGGGCAGTGGCAGGTGAAGCCCGGGGCTGGTCCTGTTGTGACCTCACAGGACCCTCCATTGGAGCAGGGCTGGCTCTGGCAGGGGTCTGTCTCCACCTCACACCGCTGGCCTGTGGTGGGGGTGAGATTGGAGATCACACATGGCTTCAGTCATTGCCTCTGTCTTGACTTACTCCTGACAGGTGGTTCAGCACACTATGTGGGCTACAGGACACTGGCTGGGACATCTTCTCTGGGGAGAGGTGTTGAGGCAGAGGGCGGGAAGATTGTCATTTAGACAGGGACTGTCTGGGTTTCCCTGTTCTTAGCTATGCCCCAGAGACCCCAGGCCTCACCTGTGTGCCCAGGCAGACACTGGCAATAGAAGGCATTGGCTAAAGAGTGGCAGGCTGCAGTGCCTGTGGGGTGACAGGGCCGGTCGAGACACTCGTCCACATCCCCCTCACAGCGCCGCCCCACAAAGCCTGGAGGGCAGGCACAGTGGAAACCTCCAGGCCTGGGGGTGCAGATTCCTTGGTTGTGGCAGGGTTGAGACCAACATGCATCCTGTTCTTTTGAGCAGTTCTGTCCTTCATAGCCTGGGGCACACTGGAGACACAGAGGGCCAGATGATAAACTGAACTCAAGGTGGTTCACAACCTCCCACCTTCACAGCCTGTCTCAGCACCACAGCCACCCTGAGAGAGTCTCTAGGCCTAGCAACCTTGCTGCAGTTGCAGCTGACCAATCAACTCAGGACAGGTTGCCCAAACTCGGAAGCACACCAATCCTGAGTCTGTTGCAGACTCCAGACACTCCCCTTGCTCTACCCCAATACCCCAATATATGCCCTACCCCACTGCTGCTCAGGGTCCCGCCTGCTTCACCTGCTGTGTTGGATGGGGGAGCAGGGTTAACTCATAAAATTAAAGACTCTTTGCTTTTGCATTGGTGATTTTGGGGTTCAGAATTTGGGCACAACAGAGCTTAACCCTCGGTCCCAAACAATGTGACACTAAGCATTGCCTCATTCTGGTAAGACCCCTTTCCCTACCAACTTCCCCTCCAGCCTCTCTCACACACTACACATTGATTTGTTAAGTATTCCCTGAATACCTTCTTGTGACATGTATGCATTTGTGTGTGTGTGTGTGTGTGTGTGTGTGTGTGTAGGTCAGAGGACTTTTCAGGGTTAGTCCTCAGGCTTCTTTACCTTTTGCTTGAGAAAGAGCCTCTTATTGGCTGGGACATTTGCCACTTAGGTCAGGCTAGCTGGCCTGCTAACTCCCCAGGATTTGCCTCCCAGATCACTGGGATTGCAAGAATGTGTTGCTGAGCCCAGCTTTGTACTTGGGTTTTAGGGATCTGAACTCAGACCTTCAGGCTTGTGAGGTGATTGCTTTCTTGGCTGAGCCACCTCCCAGCCTGGTAGTTTTTTAAGCAGTACAGATAAAGGAAAAGGTAGAACTCATCCCTGTCTGTGAAGCTTAGTCAACAGAGGAGACAGTACTGATTGCATAATCTGCATGTATAATCTTACCCCATCCTCTCAGTAACAGTAAAGAAATCTCATTTAATCTCCACTCTACTCATAAGGAAACAGTTTGCTGAAAGGTGAAGATACTTTTGGAAGCCATACCGCCTTGTCAGATGCAAAGATCGAAGCAAGACTGGCTCTGTCCAGAGCCACACTGCGGGTTTTGCTTGTGACAAAGTCACAAGTTCTATGACATGTTAGAAGGGAGGTGTTGGAACTGGAGAGAATGGGTTCACAGAGAATCCAGAGAGCTGTAGGAATGCATGGGTGGCATTAGAAACCTTTGGTGGGAGTTTCATGAGGAGTGGAATAGTAAGTGCACAGAGGTTCCCTAGCCAGGATACTGGTCTCTTCATTTTTGAGCCAGGGTCATCTCTAGCCCCACCCTGCTGCTTTGTGTCTGAAAATATTCATGAGGGGTTAGATTTGTCGATGCTGGGACACATAACTAATTGGGTAAAGTGTTTGCTTTGTATAGTGGTTTGAATAAAAAATGGCCCCCCTAAGTCCATAGGGAGTGGCCTTGTTGGAGTAGGTGTGGCTTTGCTGGAGGAAGTGCATTACTAGGGGTGGGCTTTGAGGTCTCAAGAGTTCAAACCAGGCCTAGTTAGTGGCTCACTGTTTTTTCCTGCTGCCTGCAAATAAAGATGAAGAAGTCTCAGCACCTTCTCTAGCACCATGGTTGCCTGTACGTTGCAATGCTCCCTGCCATGATAATGTAGGTCAGCCACAATTCAACGATTTCCTTTATAAGAGTTGCCTGGTTGTGGTGTCTCTTCACAGTGTTTAG